CCAGAGTCAATGCTGCCGCCGCACCAGGTCAGTCCGGGAGTAGCGACGCACGAGTTAGGCAGAAATGCTGAGAATGCACCACCCACAGCAAGCTCCTCAAGTCCAGAAGGCCCTATGAAACAGGCCCTTATGGCTGTCGTCCAGTTATGGGAGGATAGGCTACAAAAACAGGGCGTAGTCGTGAGTTTCGAGAGCTTCTAATCCCGACGCTTCTGGTCTGAGGGAGGTGGTTTTGGACATGTTGCATTCTAGACTACATTCTTCATCAGCATCGACAGCCTGCTCTTCTCCCTTACGTCCGGCACACGGAGCACCGATCTTCATGCCTGGTCTCACAGGGATTTGGTCATCAACGCGAGTCTTGGAGGAGCAATCATCTTTCATGTTTGCGCCTGTGAGTACCTGTCTTTGCGTCCTCACGAACAACGGTGCACAACTGCGTCGCATCCGTGTTCCATGGGAACATTCTCCTTTACTTCCCTCCATACATGTGTTCGCTGCAGAAGTGCGGTAGATATTTGTACGTCTCGTGGACCTATTCTGGTCCCGGCATAGACCCCTATGGGTGTGGGTCACTTCGAGACGCTCACATATAGACTCGCGTCCATTCCTACACAATTCGGACGATCCGTATTGAGCACAGGAATACTTGAGACTTCTAAGTAGCCTCGTTGCCGAGAAGCTGTTAACCGAATTATCGTGGCCATTTCCGTATGCTCCGCGTAGGCTGACGTGTCCGTTTCCAGCGATAGTCGCATACGTCGCGTCCTTCATCCTAATAAAATACCAGCTCAACGACGCAGAAAAGAAAGAACACCAATCCTTCAACAGCCCGACGCGCAGCCGTTCAGCCTCGACCTCGCGCTATGTCCCTCAGTTTACCGAAAAGCCGCAGACCGACCGCGAGCGGACCCGGCGGAAGCACAGCTCTCACACCCACCGTCCTTCTGCATCTGGAGGATCGACTCTCCGCCCGTCCTCCCCCGTCGAAATGATCGCCGACTTCCCGATGGAGGTATTCACTGACTTACGCGGCCTCGTCAGCATCGACCGGGCGTACCCCTTGTGGTTCTTGTGCTGCTGTTTTGGGGCGCGGACGAAGCCTGGGGATCACGAGCGCACGCGCGGCGATCCGGAAGCGATGGTCGATCGCGTGACGGACAGGCTGAAGGGCATGGTGGACGTGTTATCGCGTGCGCACACCGTCTGCACGGGGATGGCCACTGTTGGGTTCTTACTCGCGGTCTTGGGGATCTTGACGTATTCGTGGACGGCGGTCCCGCTCGTGCTGGGTATCTTCGCGAGTGCATGCTTGGGCGTATGCGCGGTCGCGATGGTGATTGCGCTCTGGTGAACGGCCTGGCTCGGTTATGACGATGCTAATGATATCTTATGCGTATTGTTGATCGTACGCTTTTGCTTGATGGCATTCTCTCTGATGCCTTAAATGCGACAAGTACACATAACGACTGCGCTGCTGTATTTGTAAGACGTACGAGGCAATGATGTCGTCACTTCACCTCAGACGTGGGCCTTTAGCAAAGCTATTCGTCTCGCCACAAGTCCAAGGGGTTTTCCTATTGATGTGGGACTATCAAGGAGACGTATCCCCCGCAGATTGCCGCCATCGCAGTTGCAACGGTTCCTAGGACGAGGTGAGCACGTTCATGAACTTGATCGTTTCTCCGAGTTTCCCGGATATGGTTCCCACGTGTGTCGACTGCGAAGCACGCGGTGGTTCAGGCTCCGTCCCATCCGCTGCTTCGAGTTGAGAGGAAAATCCGAGTGCGGTGGACACTGTAGTATAGTGGATGTAATCTTATCTTTTATCTCCACGTGCATAATTGAAATCCCGAAACCTTAACTCCCTCTCAACTCTCAGCAGCGGCTGGCACCAAACATAGGTAAACAACCGGAGCCCGGACAGCGAGCGCCACAAATCAGCCATCTTCGGAAGCTCCCTACCGGATGCCATCAAAAATGTTCTGAATATCTGTTTTTTCCAATAGCTCGCTTGTGAGCTGACATACTGAACGTCTCGCCTGCGCGCGAGCGCTTAATTGGAACCCCTTGAGCTCTAGCATGGATGCGCAACGCGCTGCGCAGGTATACCCGGTCCTCCTTCACCTTCAATCTATCGGAGTCACCATACCTGAGCTTATCACATCTGTGCTTGTCTTTGGCTGCTGTAATGATCTCTCTAACCCCTGGTATCAAGCCCTCATCAATGATACTGCTACTGTGTTCTCGGCCTTTTTCCACCACCAGCATACCTCGGACGCATCAAAGCGCTGGGCCCGTCAACTGATGTCCAATCGCTACTCAGATGCTGTCCAGCGTCTGACGGGTGTAGAGCGTGGGTGGCACTTCAGTGCAGCCCGGGCGCGCCCCGAGCAGATACAAGATTTTCGCATGGAAGACATGGCGGGGGAGATTGCGCGCACGGAGCCGGAGCTTTGGGCGATGGTGAGATACCTTCTAAGCGGTTCTCCCATGCCCGATGCCAATTTTACCGTGGCGATGGACACCGATGGTATGGATGATGCGGAGTCAGAAGAGGAGGACGCGGTTCTTTGGGAGATGGTTGGGGACATTCCGGGCGAGGAGACTCGTCCTGCGCAGTCAAGGGTGCCTGGTTCTGCGCGGATTGGGCGAAAGTCCCTGCGGAAGCTTCGAGAGCTTCGCAAATCCTTGACGAACATTGTATGTTACTTCCTGAGATGTGTTACCAAGAATCCTAATGTTGTTTGTGTACAAAAGAAAGCTGTCGTGATTATCAGCATCCTACTGCAACATCGCGATCAACGATGCAACACACTGCAAAGTACTTTCGGCATATTTCTCCACTCATGTAACGCGCCCGAGAAGCTCATCAAAGTCCTTGCGCACATGGGCCTTTCCATGTCCCTCACATCTGTCCACCGTGCCCTGAATTCCCTTGCAATCCATAGTGAGAAAACTCTTGTCGATCTTGGACAAACCCATCTTACTGCCTATGCGTACGACAACTTTGATGTGGATGATGTCGCGCTCGTCCCTACTGTGGAGGGATCAAGGGAGCGCTTAATGCATCTTACCTCTGGTGCCCTGTTCCGTCTCGACCCATCCATTCGTCTCGATGACCTCCGGTGCTCAAGTCTAGTGTGGGATCGCTCTGCGGAGAACCCCCTCGCGTCCGATCCCCGGCCTTTCAACCCGGAGTCTACTATAGACTGCCTGCTTGGGCTACATCCCGAGCCTCCTGTTGGCCCGGGCACTCTTACATGCCGTGGTCGTTTCCGGCGGTGGTTCTTCGTCCGCACCCTATGTGAACATGGCCCTCCATATTTCAAACAACTGCTGTCCCAACTTCAAGATCCAGAGACAATTGAGATGCTGCCTCTCCGAAAGCTCGAGTACCAGCCCTTCAGGGCGATGGACATAAACGAATCAAAGGTCGCGGGGAACATCGATGCCATACAGGCCTTGTATGCGCAAAGCGGGGTCGGCGACCCATCGCGCCCTGCGCAGTCTCATACCAAGAGTATAAACGACATTATCACTATTTTCTACGGTGATCTCAGTACCTACGAACGAGCCCGGTCAGCAAAACGTCAGAGGAAGCAAGAGAAGACACCGTACAACCGGCTACAGTCATGCGAGTTCGGGCTTGGCATGTTTCACTTCAAGATGGCAGCCGCTGACGCGCTCTGGCGCATCGAATCGGAGAAGGAGGACGCGCGCCGCGATAGCACGTCCTTCATGAAGGTGGTGGCCAAACTTCGTCCGGATGACAGCTCGCGGCTCGTGTCGAGCGCTAAGTTCCGCGAGCGCCATGAGCTGATCGCGGACGTTGGGACGGTGCTACGCTTGGATGCCTGGCGAGTCGCGGTTTCACAAAGCAAGGGCTTTGCATCGTTGGAGAGCTGGGCAGTGTCGAAGCCTTCACTAGCGAAAATAGAGGAGATTGCGGAGAGGCTTGTGATGAACTACACAGAGGGCGACGGGATCGACTTGCACGCAATGAAGGCACGCTCCACTGATGTGCGCGATCAGGCCCAAGAGAACACCATCCGGACTCACCATTACATCCTGCTATATGAAGAGCTTTCCTATGCACTTAACGCAGGGGACATCGGTCGCCTCGAGACTCTATTGGTGCCGTGGATTCTGCTGTTTCGGGCGACTGGTAAGCATAAGTATGGGAACTATACTTTGCGGTTCTGGCATGCATTGTATTTCATCTATCCCGAAGGCCTTAGGTGCGCGTTTCAACATCGGAGGAAATTCGTTTGAAAACTTACCCTAATTTCAGAAGAGCATTCCGTCTAAGTATTCTGGTCAACCTGACAGGAAAAGCGCACCATTTCCGTGCCGTGGACTGGGTTCTCGAGCTCTTGAACCTATTCACGAAGGTGAGTTATCTCAAGTTCTACAAAAATGTTGTTTCGAATCAAACTCACATCAAGACAGGATATGTACGGGGGAAGTGGTTCAAACAACACGAAGGAACGAATCCTCTTTGAATCCATCCTGGTCCTCCTGTTCAGAAGCAGCCATGCTAATTTCGAGCGGAACTTTCGAATCGGGGGCCTGACCTTTGCTCACGCCAAGAAGGATATGCGGAAGACGTTCAAATTCGTACTAGACTATCTGAAATCAAACGAGCAACAACCGAATAACTACATAGCGGGGAGGACGTCTCGACATTCGATTCCGGACATGATAGGTAAGGGATGGGAGATACTGGCGAGGGAAAGCGAGGTGAGGCAGGAGGCGAGCCAGGCGAGCAGTGACGATACAGGGGCGCCAGACAACGAGGAGATGGTGAATCTGACAGCAGAAGATCTCAGCGCAGACGGTATGATGTGACAACAGCATCGTGTACTGTCTTGACCGTGTGGACAACTCGATCATTGAGCAACCAATGAATCACCGATGTCGCGTACGGCGTCGACCGTGCGGACAACTCGATCGTTGACCGTGCGGACAACTCGATCATCGCCGTGTAGACCTTCGACGGTAACGGTCGTATTTTCCTTGTCATCGGAACCCGCCTGTTTGTCTCGAGCCGGGCACCTCAAGTTCGACTCTGAAGCGCAATGTTAGACCAATTAGAGAGACGACAACACTCCACTTACTGATGTGACCATATTGCCCGCAGGCCCCGCACTGCCGAGGAGCTTTCGCTGTGGCAGACACAGCGCGATTGCTGCTCTGAGAGGGCGCCCCGTCAGCCTGCGGCTCGCTCTGCCGTACTCGCAGGGGGGTTGATGCGAAGGGGCTGTTTGCAGGATAGTATCTAAAACTTGTAAGCAGCAATAAGAAATGGAAGAATACGGACATACTTTTTGATGAGCTTCAAAACATCGGCCCCCAGCTCTCGCGACTTGGGCCACTTCGTCTCCTGATATAGCGTCTCCACCGTCGTCAGCTTCTGCGCGCGAGCACAGTCTGCGATTCGGTCCAGGGTCTCGTCACCCATGATGATCCCCGCGCCCAGATTGTTGAGGTGTGCGAGGCCATGCGTCTTCACTGTCTGCTCGCGGCGGTACTGGTTGAGTTCTGCGCGGAACTCGACGTCGGCGGCGCTCATCTTGTAATGAGTCGGTACCTTCGAAGCGCGTGGGGCCGTGATGCGTTGAGGAGGAGGGATGTGGAGGAGGATGCGAAAAGCAGGGTGGTTGGGGCTGCAGAGCGAGCAACACACAGGAGATGGGGGGACATGACAGCGGGTGCATCCCCTGCCGTCCTCTGGACAGCAGGCACGGTGATCAGCTTCTGTTATGTAATCGGACAAGGTTCAGTTTGAGAACCACACAAGTAAAGTAATTGGAACACACCAGCTCTGTCATTCTCAAAGTAAGCCATAATTGGCACACGATAGCACCCCAGCCCTGCGCGCGTCTCGGCGTTCACCATATTGTCCATTTCTGGTCCGAGCTCCCCATCGACTCCCGTCTTCTTTGTCCTCCCACGCTGTTCACTGGCCTTCGGCATTGCCTGTTTGTATATAACGCGAAGGCGTTCCCAGAGCGTGAGTCTGGGAGCACGAACAATGTCCATGCTCCCATTGTCCCCTCTGGCGCTTCCTGTACTGATGCGCGCGACAGCCTGAGAATGCCCGGCGCTTCCTGTGTGCAACACCGGCGGTCTTAGGGCTACCTCGCTTTCAGAGGGCGAGAAGAGCATCGGGCGTATCTCTCCTCTCGGGCTGTCACCACGAGCATGATCAACGGTTGCATCGCGCGATGTTGGACCCGCTGGACGCGCCGTCGCTGTTTTCTGGGGCACCAATCTTCTTGCTTGGTTGTCGCGCGACCCGCCCTCTTCCTGGATGTCTTCCCCAGTGTTCTCTCTAGCGCAGTCTTCTATACGGGCGGTGAGTCTCCATTTCGCATGACGACCTGACTCCTCTCTGGCTGCCTCTCCTGCTGTGCGCGCGCGCTTGTTGATCTCCTGACCCGCTGCCTTCTGTTCTGCCTTCTCCCTCCATTTCGCTGCTCGCTTGGCGGCTTCAATTTTTTCTTCGTCGAAGTGTCTCGGCTCCACAAACAGGATAGCAAGACCCGTCCGAGAGGGATCTCGAGCTGCGCGACTGAAACGTTGCCAAAGGCTGTTGAGATCGCAAGTTGTCCGCCATTGGACCACCAGCTCAATATCGGTTATATCGACTCCCTGGTTGGATGTTACAGACCTTTAATAATCCATTTTCGATACAATCGGGACACATACCATGCCGAATGAGTCAGTGCTATAGAGGCCGTAAAGTTTCCCTTCCTGGTACTCCTTTGTAGCCTCCTCCCGAAATTCATGTGAATTGTTTGCATTGAACCACACAATGCGGTTGCGTTCTTCACGTGGCATGCGATTTTGGAGCAATTCGGCAGCGCGAACAGAGTCTTCAATGTTGTCGAAGAACACGAGAAATTTGGGTATGTGCATCCCTGGCTTCCAGTCGTCTGGGATTAGAAATTCGAGGTCCTTGCAACTCGCGAGGGGGTGCCTGATCCTCTGAACACTGAGAAACACATTTGGGCGGTCATTTGACCGCCGTATCAGCTCTACAGACCCGCGCTGCATCTGCAAGATGCTCATGACATCAACAAGAACATGCTCGGGCAAGGTTGCCGAGGGGACATAAAAGCGGACAACGCGCGACATGATGTGCCGTAATCTTGCTGCACAGAGGTAGTCCTCCCGAAAATGCCCCCAAGCACTGACACAGTGCCCCTCATCCCAAATGATTGAGATCACCTTTTCCATAAACCTATCGTTCCTCCACAGCCGGTCAAAACCAGATCCAGGTGAAGACCTGACGGCCAGTTCCGGGCCTGCGACAAGAACGCGGAATTGAAGATCTTCGGCAGCCTGTCAAGAATAACCTTCTCAGTAATTGCTAATTATGGTGGGCGCCAGCCTACCTGAAAGTTCTCGGCGGTGGCTGTCTCGCCTCGGAACGCAAATGCGGGAATTCCGAGCCGGGCGAGTTGCTCGGTATTTTGGGTCCCGAGAATGTTGAGAGGCGAGATAATAACTTGTATGCCGTCCGGTCGGAAGAGGAGTGGCATCCAGAACGTGAGCGTTTTCCCAGAGCCTGTGCCGGATATGCAGACCACATCCTTGTCGCCGCGAAGCTGCGCGAGTGTCGCGTTGCATTGCCAGAGACATGGCCGTCGCCCGAACTTCTCGAGCGTGCGCGCGCGAATCTCAGCAATAGTCGGCAGGGCGGACGCGCCTTCCGAAGGCATGAGGCCTCGTGGTGGGAGCGTGTCGTTGCACACAACTCGTAATTCATTTTCCTAGAAAATCTGAGGCGCCCTCGGGGGAGGCTGCTAAACATGGATACTTTTTGATGGCCATGCTCCGAGCCCCGGTTGTTTACCTATGTTTGGTGCCAGCCGCTGCTGAGAGTTGAGAGGGAGTTAAGGTTTCGGGATTTCAATTATGCACGTGGAGATAAAAGATAAGATTACATCCACTATACTACAGTGTCCACCGCACTCGGATTTTCCTCTCAACTCGAAGCAGCGGATGGGACGGAGCCTGGCGGTGGTTCATGCCGGTGCGCATGACGTCCATGCCGTACTCATTCAATTGGAGCGCTGCGACTAGTACTTGCGATGCTTTGCTATGTACTTACCGCAGAACATCCTTGACTTCACTTCAATCTGGGTTCATCATCGTATCAGCGCAGCACCCATGTCCCCCCAACCCAATCCCAGGTCAAAGGCATCCGCTGCAACGGACTCAACTTGCCACATCTGCTCTTGGAATTCACAGGCGCCAGGCTCGTTGGCTGCGCTGCAGAGCTCTTTGAGCATTAGCTGTTGTCCGGGACCCCCTCTGCAGCGAGCCTTATCCAATCTTCAATCATACAGTCGACGGGTCCTCCGGCTACTCTTCTCCGCCACTGACCCCGTTGTGCCGTGCTTGGTTGCCGCTATCCCCCGACCTCCTGTAGTTACGCCATGTCTGCGAAGCAAATGGGCGCGATATCTCTCGGTTTGGTCGAAAAGGGCGGGTCTGTGGGACGTCTGGAGGAGTTGGATTATCTCTTGCCACGGTCCAAACCGCCACCCTCCTGGGATATGCGCACCCACTCAGGCACCCTCGCTGAGGATCGTCGCCGACGCCTTGTTGAACAGCGCCTCCTCTTCCTGAAGTGCGTTCGTCCTTCGCAACAAGCGTTCCTACGTCGATCTCTCCACATCCCCGACGACTCCCGCCAGTACTTGCCCGCTGGAATATGAGCGTAAAGCTCTCGAGAAGCGGTGCTCCGGCTGGGAAGAGCCTACGATGCCCTACGTAAAGCACAGGTACACCACGCAAAGCACGCCCTGGACTCTAAGTCTCCATCATCATTACCATTGGTACGTGTTCCCCGCGTACCTAAACGATTCCCCCCCGCGGGCGCGGTACAGCTCCATTCGTCCCTCATAAGATGCCTAACGATACTACAAACCTTGACGCTCGGGAGGCGGAGTCCGTTCCTGGACGAGGTACTGCTGCTGCCCCTGCAGTGGTGCTCACTCCGATGGGAAATGTCAACTTGAACGAGTACATGAAGGCGGGCTCCAGAACTTTGATCCTGGGTCAGGCATCTCTTCGCCGCGCGTCTTAGTACTTGGCTCACGCTCTCCGTCTCTCTCGCTTTCGACGGACGAGGGCAAGACCGCGGAGATGGAGAGGGAGGAGGCCGAGAGGCAGTGGCACTTGACAATCGTGGGAACCAGGAGCCTCCGTCGTGTTCGCGACATCTTGCGCTTCCGAGTTATAAGAAATCAACGGGTGCCTCCTCCATGTATAGAAAGGGGGGACGTGTAACTCCAGGTGGAGACCTGAGTTACAGTCAGGTCAGCACAACGGTCAGCTCCGCAGCGAGACACTAGATCGAGCTTGTTTGCCAGCACTTATGAGTCTATTAGTATAGAAAACGGACTCACAGACAAGACAGGAACAACGGATCGCGAGCCGCCGTGGATTGCATGCCCAACCGCTTCCGCAAGTTGTACCAAGCGAACGTGGGCTGAAGTACACTAGAGGCCGAGGTGGAGAAACTGAAGGCAGAGTCAAACAGAGAGACTGAGACCGAGAGAACGCTCGCGGGGAGCTCGAGGGCAGGTCATACCTCACGATAGATGTACGAACGGCCAGAGACAAGACTACGGTCTGTCAATTGTATGAACACTGAGGCGTCGCCCTACATGCATAGCTAGTGAGGATCATGCGATATACGACAAAAGCGTTTCGGAAGGAGCGTGATGGGAATTGGAAAGGAACAAAAACGGCAAGTGCGCACGCGGTCACAATATCTCCCCCTTCTAGGCGTTCAAAGGGTGGCCTGGCGGGCTTCGAGTCACTTATTACGGAGTCGCCCTACATGTACGCAGCAAAAACCCGACGAGGGGCAAGCGCCATAAGAATTGCGGCAGCGAATTCAGGCGCGACGTGGAAGACGTATTGCTTGGGGAATTGTTCTGCGGCTTCGGGTCGCTTATCCGCCAGTCGCCCCACATGCCCGTAGCAAACACGCGACGAGTGTTGAGCGACATAAGGATTGCGACTGCGAGGAATTCCGGCGCGACGTGGAAGACGTAGAAGCCTGCCTTGGAGAGATTAGAGGTTAGCGAGCCGGGCGCAGTAGAGGTCAGCGACGTCGTGTTGTGGAACATCGTATCGACGCGGTAGATCCCGACAACCGACTGGGAGAGGACGAAAGGAGGACGGTCAGCGTGAGCTCATGACGTAGCAGGATGCAGTCGGCCTGATGAAGGAAAGGGATGGCACGTACAAGGAGACTGGCGACGAGGACAATCCACACGACTGAGCTCCGCGGGACGCGGGGCATGTAGAAGTATGCCCAGACCGCAAGGCCTCCCACGCCGTGTAGTAGGATAATCGCTAACCCTGCGCTAACATATCTGAAGGAAGACATTACAGACGAAGACAGTCATGAGTCTAATAACTCAGGGTGAGGAGATCAACATACCGAAGCCATCGAACCAATGCCGCGTCCGCGCCCGTGGCTATGGCCTCCTTGTAGTCCGCGCCAGCGATGGCGCTGAGGATGATGGTCACTAAGAACAAGAGTGCCCAGATCCCGGACATCTGCCGGATCCAGTACCGCGTCCGCGGATGGTCGGTGATCGCAGGGTCCCCCTGGCCTCCAGTGTCGAAACGGCCTTCCGGGAGTGTGGCGAACGGTTCCTGCATCTCGAAGCTGCTACCGCATTTCGGGATCTGGGGCGTAAGCTTGTGCTTTGCCAGCATGTCGCCGCCGAGTGTGTACGCCACGAGCAGCGAGCGGGTCACATTGGCCAAATCTTGGCCGATGGTTATGAAACCGCCGGCGTATGTCACTTGTAAGTAGGTCTCGAGGCCCTTGCTCATTCGAGATCCGAGATCGTGGGAGGCCTTGGCGCGGAGTGCATAAGCCACAACTCTGAGGACCCAAGTAAGCATTAACCAGAGAGGGAATATTGAACTCAAATAACTGACCGCTCAATGCTGAAAAACGTGGTACCGGCGAGAGCAGCACTACGAGAGCGAGGATGAATGATGCGCCAGAAGACTACCGGCAACATGACAGCGTAAAGGCATGCAAAAAGAATCGAGGGCGCGAAATCGACGGGAAGTGGAACACCACCCACTAGAGAGGGAAATTCATGCGTCGCATTGGTAGACATATCGAAGGCGAACTGCGAGCGGATGCACAGGTCATCCGTCTATCTAGGCCCTGGATATCAGTCGATCGGAAGGCAGATGACCTGGCCTTCGGGGACGGCGGGGAGGGAAACGGCGCAGCACAATCGCGCCTCAGGAAGTCTACACCTTTCATGTTGCACAGGCTATCTGATCAGTCGCACAAACAAAGAAGCCGCAGTCCTCGGCGGTGATATCCGGGAATTGGGTCCAAGAATTTCCCGGGGGTTCTCATGTCATGAAGATCCCGGTCGAAGAGTCTACTCTGCTCATTTCGGTAGCTCATCGACCAGGTAGCTGGCCAGTCTGTAGCAGGACGAGCAGGCTATCGCTCGCAATCCCTTGGCGTGGAACGGAGGCTTGCTAAACCACGCCTGGGCGAGGACCCAGTGCTCGTGATTGGCTGCAAGCGCGGGAAAATGATGGGGAGCTGCTGCGGGCGCAGCAAACGTGAATGATAGGAGACACAGTAAGCCTATCAGAGATGCTTCCGACGCCTCGTATAGAAGGCCCGATTTTCCTCAGGTCAGCGAAACCTCGTTGTAGTCTCTCCGCAGCTACTTCGACTTGCCACGGTATGTGTGAAGATTTCCCCCTTCTGCTCAATGGCTACTCTCTGCGCCAGGCGTGGTCAGTCAGGAGAACTCAGTAGAGACGACGAGACTGCTTCACCTATACTATCTGCGGCTGTGCACTAATGCTATGACATTCATAGAAGCTGCGCTACGCCCGCAGGAGCATACTGCGCCTCATGTTCAAGCCTGGGACTGTGCAGTGCGTGTGTGGCCAGAGCACTGCTATCTGGGACGGGAGAAGAGTGTGCCACAACCTGAGAGTACGGACGAAGAATGTCCGTTTCGACGCTCATCAGATAAGCCCAATCAGCAACGTCAACCGTGGGAAGTATGTTTGGAGGAGCTAAAAGTCATTACGATGCACTTTCATGACTTCGACGTCTCGACGTCGACCTCCGGTATTCAGGTTAATCATTTCAGGACATCTTCTACTGGATCGCGTCAAGAGAGGACAATGTAGCGTAATGGGCTGCAGTATAAGACTTCTAGTGGTCGGGCTAGTACGTATTTGCGTAACATTGACCAACATCCTGTTCAAAGTTGAATGTTCTGACAAGCTCTTTGTGGTGTGGTTGGTCGCGCACTTGAGACAGGTCGCACATGCTCAGTGTACGGTTATCTTACAGGTTTACCAGAACCATGGTCTCTGAGACGCTGGGAATGATACATTCTGCCACAAGTCTGCATATATGCGCACCTTACCTAGCTGTCTACCACGACGAGCCTGCGCAGTTGCGGTGGAGAACTCGGACGACGAGTCTGATACAACTTACAGTGTGTACATGATGCTCGCTCTGTGTGGTACTTTGCTGAAATCCAGCAGGGATGCCATACGATTAGGTACATCCTCGATTTCATACTCCGAGCAAGTCCCTCGATTTGACCTGTAGGAAGGATTTTACTCCGGATCGTCTCAATCCATCCACTGGGGTAAATACGTCGTCTGTACCGGATCCAAGTCGAAGTTTCATTGTGGCTCCGTACTAGGAACAAGAGCAAAGTGCACGCATGCAGGGTGCCTCAAAGGCCCTTCTCCGTTTATGCCGGCGGACAGACAGTCTGTAGACGTGTCTGTTTATCGCTTCCAATTGATCAGACTTGCAAGCGGAATGGTATTCCAGTTTGCTCTCTCTGAAACCTTCTTCTCAACCTCGCTTACGTCCTGATGATTTACAGCGAGGCATCGGTTACAGTAGGTTCCGCTCGACCACCGCATTCAATGCGGGCTATTAGGGGGGGCAGGCCCTGATCCACATATCGAAGCCCTGCAGCTATAGCATTGTCCCTTCGGGCACTGGGCCAGTTGATGACAATAGACTTGCAACTATCCCTGAAGTCGCTGGCAATCTCAAACTAGCTTGGACCGGGAAAGTGCCAAATTGACTGGAGTCCGCTTTGGAGGATTCGCACAGCGCCACAGGCAGAACGCGGCAATCTCCTTACGTTAACAGAGGTCATCGGTGAAACAAGTCACTCCCTGCGGGGGTGGGGCTAGATTCTGCCCTTGATATCACTCGCTCGGCGTTGCCGTTGTAGTCCTACGTTTCAGTGACCTGTTATCCCTGCCCCGATTCATCCTGACATATGTGACCTGCTCCATGGCTGACGTTCTGGAGCGTAAGTATGAATGTTACGTACATATCCATGAGGCCAACGGAAATCCCTGTGCAAGCTGATTCTGTGTCTGCAGCTACGCCACAAGGTACCGAGTGCACTTCATTTCAAGCGTTGACTATTGGGGACTGATACCAAGACAACTTCGGTTGATTTGATAGCAGTGTTCAAGCGATCCAAATCCATATCCGTCCTACTCTGATGAACCCGAAACGTCTGCACAGTAAACATTCAAAGCGTAGCGCGTGCTCTACCGCCGTCTGCAGATATCACGCTTGATGCACCTTGACTTCCGCCTCGAGCCATTTCCACAGCTTATCGCCTAGCTCGTCATCATATGCCTCCGCCCTGCACCTTCCCACACGTGCCCATGGGATGAAAAACTGGTGTACGCTGATGAGTGCCGTCTCAACAGGGAGTGTTCTTTAACGTACCTCGCCGTTGTAATTAAGAGCCTCCGGCGCCGTACCGGCGTAAAGCTGTGTGATCGCACCAAGGGGCGTTGGATACAGCAACAAATTCTGATACCGCCGTCAGCTAATACGAGGGAAGCCTGTCAGACAAGTTGGTCCGTACCACAAGCTTCTTCTGCAGGCCGGCGAGGTGGCGTTGCAACTCGCTCTTGATGTTCCCTATGAGCGTGTCCGTGAGCAGGAAGCACGATAGTACTCATGGGACTACAACCGACCAGGATTGACGGATACGGAGATAATGCCTTGTTCGGCATATCGTTTTGCAAGCTGCCGGGCGAACACCACATTGCCCTGTCTCAGACAGACCTGTTAGACCAAGCCTTGGCAGAACGCTTACGCTGAACCACGCACGAATTTGCTTTGCGGATAAAGGCCTACTCTCGACGTCTTTCTCCTCTCGGGTGTGTCCTTGAAAGTCTCCCAGTGGAGAGTGTGCGAATATGCGCGGCTGGAAGCCGTCGTAATAACGCGGGCGTGGTGATCTGGAGACGACTTGACACCGGCAAGGAGAGCGGGCAAGAGCAACACGGTAAAGTAGTAGTGTCCCACGACATTCGTACCCCATTGCATGTCGTACCCGTCCGCAGTCACCTGTTCGATGGGTGGGGCCATGACTCCGCTGACGAGCGAGTGATAACTATGAGGGGGGTAAACTTTCGAGAAGAACTAGACGAAACGTACGCATTATTGAAGAGGATGTGAAGTTCGGATTCCCTGCTCAAGAACTCTTCAGCCGCCTTCTTAACTGAAGAAAGACTCGCAAGGTCGAGTTGAAGGAAGATGGCTTCCTTGCCGGTCGCCTCCTTCAAAGACTTGATGGCCCTCTCCGCCTTATCCTTGCCTCGGGCGGCAAGGTAGACCTTGGCGTTGTGCTTCAGAAGAACCTGTTTGACGGTCCGGGTTAGAGACGCGGGGTACGTCAGCGGCACAACGATACGCACCTTCACGGTTTCGTAACCGATACCGACGTTGCCGCCTAAAACGACGTAATTTGAGGCAAACACTACCCACATTACTATCTGGATTACCTGTGACTATGACAATCCGTCCGGTGAGATCAGGTATGTCATCTGCCGTGAATTTGGACTTGGGCGGAAGGGCTTGCAGCAAAGTGGGCCATACGGTCTGCTTGAAGTTAGAGAGCGTGGCACCCATCGCGAGTCAGATGAAAGGAAGCTTATGTAGGGCAGAAACCTATCAGAAGACAGGAGAAAGGTAAGTTTCTGGCATGTGGCCCCCAGTCGGTATTTGATCATGTGCGTGCCGCGATTCGTGTATCTACGGCCCAGAGATGCACAGCCCACGTTCGTCATCACCATCGTGTCATGTCCCAACACAATTAGCGTCGTCCACTCAATTTGCAATTACTGAATTTACTTAGCATAGGCCATTCGCGACGTACCTCCAACGTGACTTAGCCGCCGATGAAGAATCCAGGAATCCCTATGTGCGGGAGACTTCAGATCAAAAGCGAGCTATGCCAGTGAGACCCCACCAGCGACAACTGAATCTATTGTTATAGCATTGCCATCGAGATCCGCGCAGATGGTTTGCAGTGATAGCCAGCTCAGAGCGGAGGGAGAATCTGTGCGACAAGATATCTGAGTAGCCTACAACGAGGTATGTAAACCTCTGGGATATCGGGCCAGGGAGGTATGAGACCTCCCAACCACGCATATGATTGGCTGTCAGCCTAGGACATCAATACGGGCGCATCAAATTTTGATAGCTGGACCGGTGTACGTACTCGAGGCAACTTCAAGGAGCTCGAATAAAAACCATACTCCCTCTGAGGAGGTCGCAGTAATTGACGAGGCAGCATTTGTCCAACATGTGAAGAGTGTTGTGCAGGCGTGGCGGGTGAGGAGGGTGGGGGACGCGCGACGCAAAAGACCACCGACGCTGTCACCACGGGCGCATCAGCGCGCTAGTTTTGATGATCAAAGTTCTCAATCAGCATTGTGGCGTTTGATGCCAGATTTAGGGTTTGCGCGAAGAGGACCCGCCATTCGTGCTCCCTCCCCTCCCTCGCTGCGCTCGGGGGGTCCCCCGAGCCGGGAGCACTCAGGCGGGCACTCTAAAGCCTCGTTCGCGCGATAAATACAGACGGCCTCCCCTTTGGGGGAGGAGGAGGTGTGAATAGCGCCTAACCCAAACCCGAACCCGAACCCTAACCGAACCCAAACCCAAACCCAAACCCAAACCCTAACCGAACCCTAACCGAAACTCTAACCGACGCGTATCACTAAGACCGCGTGGGTTGGGAGGTTTGATACCTCTCTGGCCCGATATCCCAGAGGTTTGCATACCTCGTTGTAGTCTCTACGATATCTGAGCCCGTGGCCTGTGTCAATGCTTGTCCCACTGCTCACCAGTCTATGCACCCCTCCTGTTCAAACTGCAATGGTAGCTTCTAGTGCTCAAATGATGCTTTGTACCAAGTCTCACCTTCAGGAGCCGATTAGTGTGAGACCCGCTCGCCCTTATCAGGCACATCAGGGATCCACTCCCAAACCTTTGCCCAAATCTGAGTAAAGGCATGTCAGCCATTGAGTAGACATAGAGAGGGAGGAGCTCAAAGTAGAGTTCTTCATCGCGAGGCATTTCGACTTATGGACGGCAAGTTACCCTTGCAAGGCATAAGGCGGCCTGAAAGTTGGGCACCTTCAGCTTGAGGGGTAGAACCCTTATAAATCTAATATCGAGATAGAGAGAGAGAGATTCTTATCTTGCAAATACACGGATGACCAGCCTGAGCGGTCTACAATTTAACATCTGTACCAAGACGGGCAAGTTTGCGGTGATTGGACGCTGACTGAACGCCGGGGCGCCTCGGGTATCATTCCGACGTCGTGGCGTCTAGATGCTAACAAGCACTCAGCGGAAACCCTCGAAGGATACGAACTAGCTTCCCGGGAGTAATTCAGGTGGACCAAAGGACACGGTATCTGTCTGTGGTGCGACAGCCGGAGCAAGGGAGGTGGACTGATCCTGATAAGGCTACTTTGCCATGACGTGTCCTGCTTCTCAGCCATCGACTCGCCCCGCTTTCTGCCCGCGTGGATCTTCCGCTGCTAACCAAACTCTCATATGTAAAGTCAATACTCGGGCTGAGAATGGTTTATTGTCAAGGAACATTAGCGCAAGTACGCACCCATTTTTCGTCCGGCGCGCATTCCTCTTGACTCTGTCCACGCCTTGATGGCCACCTCTGACGGCTAGGTGGACGAACACGATGACATGGTCATGTTTCAGCCCTCGGCCCCGGGGTGCATCGGAGCGGCTTGAGGCCCTGGCAGCCCCCGTGGCGGATTGACAGACGATATATGACTGCCACATACGTAACCCAGCATGCTAAGCCCTAAGTACATCCGCCAAAGTGCCCATGTATCGTGTCGCAGCATGATTATGATTGGATCTAGCTGAAGTTTTTTCGAAGCCTCTGGACTAGTGTTATGTTTGAATGCATTTGACATGCTCCGTGGACATCTGGAGCGACAGCGAATAAATACTTGGCTCAAGACACTGTTTGCGAGCTGAATTCTCCTTGCCAGATATCCTTGACCCGTGACATGGAGATGCAGTCAATGCAGAATGTTTCCCAGACTACTCGAAGTCAAACTAGTGACGTCGCATTGGAGCTTATGGGACACATATCAAATGTGCTTCTCACCACAGGCTTATATGGTACGTGCACCGTACCGCCATCAGTTCGGCATCTGAACCTCACATTTCGTCTTCTAGGAGTCTATTTCGCTTGCGTCTTCCTCTCGGTGATAGTCTTGACGTTTGTAGCCCGGAAAGCTCTTATGTGTCGATTTTCCCGCTGACATGTTGTCCTATCTTAGGCGGAATGGCCTGAGAAAGCCTCCGACAACTATCTTACTCTGCATAGTAATTGGGATGTTAGCGAGTACTACCATTCATTGGGCTGCTAGCATTCTCAATATGCTGGCTGAGTTGGAGATGGTAATATCTGCGTCTGGCCTTGCTTGCCTCTCGGACCCTAAGGGTCAAGCGTGCACTCCCTTGGTGTTTCAATCATCGGGTCCCGACAGGCTGCAACTACAGTACTGTACCTGGAGCTCCGCTTTGACGATCAACGTAATCTTTTCAGATTCTCAGTAAAGCTTGATTGCTCGCGCTAATTGCCCTATTCTCGTAGATCGCGCTTAGCGATGCGATCGTATGGTGGCGAGTATATGCCGTCTGGGGAGGTAACAGGTTCATCACCGCGCTCGGATTGACGGTACTTCTCCCATCAATTGGTCAGTCATGTTCTCTATGTTCCAAATCGTTCTGACGGAGTCCTCTTGCCATGTACTCGCGTCCTCCATTTGCTCAGTGCTTCGTGTTGTCGGCGCGACGTACAGATGTACGCGTCGGACCTTGCCTCATGTGGTGATTATTATGGGAGGAACTTCCATCACAAAGCTGTCGGACTTGCGAGAGCTAGGCACCGGCTCTCTTTTTATTGGGTCGATGTGGGGCTTGATGGGAGACATCTTCAGCGTCCTCGTCAACTTGTTGGCGACAGCTCTAATCACTTATAAAGCCTGGTCAGACTATCTTCCCACTGTTGTCTTATGCATGGTGCAAGTCGTCTCATGCAATAATCTAGGCACCACAGACGATTTGTTCGTGACTACTTGCGCGCTGCCTCCAGCAGGTCCCAGGCTGAGAGGGTTCTGTTCTTACTCATTGAGTCAGGGGTAGCATACTGTCTCATTTGGGTATGTTCAACGTCTGATCTTGGTATCAACGCTTATTAGTGTGTGCTCCTACAGATCGTCACCGTGACGTACCAGGTCATATGCCATCGCATTAACGAGCCGAACAAGACGATCCATACTTACAACAAGCCATGGTTCCTCTTTCTGGTCGCTCTGGAGACTCTGACGGCAGGCGGGCTGCCCACCATGATCGTGTGTCGCTTGTTCTCCTCGCTTAAGATGACATTGACAGCTAATTATGATGCACAGGCCATATATCCTACCACCATCATCGTCGTCGTCGCCTTGAAAAGCCCTCAGTGGGAAAGCGGTATCACCTTCGCGCCCTCCATTCGGGAATTGGTCGCGGTCCAGACGCCCCACTTCGCTCAATCTATCAAATCGTCGTTGCGCTGTCCATCCCCTGCTCTGCGCGTTGAACGGGGTCCTGATGCGGACTGTTAGAGAACAATTGTACATTATCTGAGAAAGCCTGTAGCGCGGATCTCCGCCAGCTTTTGTCCGCTCTCTGTCGTTTGCCATCAACGACTCATGATGTTGGTGCGTTGGAACGCGATAGCTAGACCTCCTAAGACGTAGAGCGAATGTCCGAATCGCAAGTCCATGGCCTATGTACCCATGCCTCCACCCCAACATGTGTGGCAGCTCTGCACCTGGTCTGATCAAAAGTCCAAGTAACATGTCAAACCGCGGTGATTGAACACGACGCCGGAAGAGAGCAAGTGAAAGTGAAATGTAGGTCCGGGTCAAAAACTATACTGCAACAATGTACGTGGGTGATAGTGACATATAAAGCAAAAGATAAACAACTAGCCCGTCATATATGATAGATGCACATTCGACACGTCCCGCCTAAAGCCTACAACGTCGTTGGTTCTGCTCCCGTCCTCTGCGGTGGCAGTCCTTTATGATCTATGTGCACCCCGTCCGGCCATGTTCATTTCGCCGTCATCGAGTCCTGGTGGCGGCACTGGTGGATGGCTCATGACAGATTCAGGGGATGCTCGTTGGGGAGTCACGCCAGTTTGGCTGGGGTAGAAGATTTGAGAAGGTGCAGGAGATGGATATCGTTGTGGTCGCTGGTACTGCTGAGGCGGGTATTGCTGGGTGGGCGTGTACTGTTGTGGCGGGGAATACTGGCTAGAGTATCCCTGAGACGGGTAAGGGCGATGGAGAGGGGCCTCTCTGTATTCCTCGCTAGGGTACGCGGCGGGGAGGAGGGGAGTCTGGCTGCCATCGGGGGGTGTAATGACGTAGTCGAGATTGACGTTACTCCTGCTCGCGCCCAGACTTGCATCGAAGTATCCGGGGCTTGCAGGCTGGGCGTACATGGTTAGATGATCTGATCAGAATTCGCGAAGTCGAAGCGTCGACATACCTGGTTCAGCAATGGCTGATTATCCGGAATGTCCAGCCGGTTCATCTCGATCTCCGGTTGGGCACCATACGCTAGATAGCGGTCGAAATTCGCCATCTTCGACGGAGCAGGCGAGGCGCGCCCGGCATCAGGATACATTCCTTTCGACTCTGAGAGCAAGTTCGACGACGAAATTGACCGCGTGTCCCAGTCGTCTCCTCGGTCGCGCTGGTACAAGGCGGGATCGTACTCCAAATCGCGCTGAACGCATGCGTCAGCTCCTCGCAGAGGAAAGCCGTAGTCGATGGAAGCCCTCTCACCTCTTCGATACCGGCGATCTTGATACCGCCAGCGACCATCGTCGCATCCATCTTCTGACCACCCATGTCCTCCACCTTCGTTTGTACGTTGCTAACCTTGCCCGAGTACACCTGCGGGAGCAAGTGTGTCATATTTGCGTGCACCATCGGCGTGAACAGCTCTGAGTGGAGCGCTGGGTGGCCGAACCGCTTCTCGAGCCGGTTGTTGGTCGCGTCGTTGCGCCGCGAGTGTACCTGCGCCTCGCGCAATTCCGACTCGGAAGGCATGTAGTAACGGAAATGTGGCTGAAAGACACGGTGAATGTAGTACTTGAACGCGAGGATGAACAGGATCGGAGGGATAGTCGCGATCCAGTAGAACGACTTGAACGAGGACTTCAGACCGATGGCTGCAAAGCATAGTCAGCCTACGGTCTATCATGTTGACAAAATGCGAGAGACGCACTGAGAATCACGATGCACTGCATGAGGATGACTGAGAAGAGCAGACGGTTGATGACGACGTTCCACATACGCTATGCAGACCCCGTCAATGCGGAAACAACAGACACAGACCAGCTGCATGGACTTACCCCTCCACTCTCCGTCTTCGAGACGAAGACGAACATCAGCTGGTACTTGTACACCCAGGAGCTGATCCAGAAAACGATCGCAGCAGCAACAGCCACGAGCGGTGCAAGCGGTGCGAAGAACAATCCGACGGTACCCATGAAAAGCTATAGAATGGATCAGTGCTGAATTATATAAGGCTGATATCGGTCTCATACCAAGTTGGAGCTGTAACAAACCCGCCATCAGTGTGTTATCAGCGATAGATATAGGGTTAGAGAGAGAACCCACTAGTATATTGCAAATTGGAAATCTGGGGGCTGAGTCCATTCACGAATCTCACGAGGTGTCCGGCCCAAGAAGCTGCTCGAATGATGAGACCAATGCTGCATCGGGCGATGCTTCAAGGACAGCTCACTGAGTTTTGAAGAAGACCACGGCGAGATTGAGCAGCTGAGCGAGATCGAACAAGACCAAGAAACCACGCAGCCTGAAAAAGATCTCATGTCAGCTAGAACGCGATAGCGTATCCGAGGGCCAGACATACGGGAAGTAAGTGAGCCAATACGATGATTGGTTGATGTATGTGCTGTTGATGTTCTCGGGAATGTCTAAAGGTACAGTATTCGAGATCCGGGTGTGTCTCATTCGTCAGAACGCAAGGCGCACCTTTCAGCCTGTTCATGATCTCCACAAAGCTGAGATGTTTGCCGATCGACTGAATGACGATCGTAGCCGCATCTAGGTGATTAATGTCAGCCCACAGCTTTGAATGTGACAGCACCAAATGACACCCACTGAAGAGTACGCCGATTAGCGTGAAGATGACGAGCTGCGAGATGATCAAGAACGCGAAATAGCGCGCCACGACGGCACGGTCCATCCGCGAATGCGTGTACGCGCCCATGAACTTGGTGAGCTTGCGCATGATGATCGGCAGTGCCCATCCAAAGAGCGCAGACACGGCGGGCGGGAGCACACCGGACACGAATGTGAACGAGTGCGGCGACTCCTCGGACCACGACTCGAGGAAGGGTACGAACGCGGTGAGTGACGACAAGTTGGCGAGGACTGAGATGATCAGCAGTGGGATCGTGTTGAACGTGCAGATGGCGATTAGCCACAGCCAGCCGATCGTCTGTGCGCGACGGATCTCGGCCTTACTCCTGCCCAGGTTTTTCCAAACCTGCGTACCGACTTAGCTACAGGGTAGTCACGACGCTGCATCGGATACGCACTATATCCTTTGGGTTGGGGGCGAGGGTAATCGTCACGCCCTTCGGATGCTTGCCGCGGAGCATATTCGCGACAATGTGTGCGTATGCGACAGCAGCCATGGACGCGAAGCCGTAGTTCTCCGGCTTGCGCAGGTCGATCTGCTTCCGGAACTCTTCCACTGCGCGGTCTGCCCGCTGCAGCTTGTTCCTATACGACATCACATCAGTCTCAGTCAAACCGAGAACACGACATCACACACGTGTAATGGTCGATGGCATCCTTCTTCTCCCCGCCGCAGCCCACGGTCGAACCGACGGTGATCGTGGGCCGCTTCTTGCCAATCTTGCCGCCCTTCAAGTACTTCACCAGCACCTGCTCCAGCTCCCGCACCGCGTCGTTGTGATACTCGACCAGCTCCGGCAGACGACCGACCTTCCGGCCAATATGAACCGACGTAGTCGGGTACGGGACCTGCACAGACTCGAAGATCGCCCGAAGGCCCTCGTCCGACTGCAGCTTCTTCGGCACGTCCGTGACCATGAGCGTGCGCGCATAGAACGACTGCAGGTACTCGGGCGATCGGAACCACTCCCGCCGAAGCCGCACGACCTCGCGCCAGTGCACGTAAACGAACCCGATGACGAGGAACGTGATGAGGTACGTGACCACTACGTGCGGGATCACCCACTCGTGCTTGAGCTCGCCGATGGTGAGCATCGACAGCGCATCGCGACTCTTGCTCGGCACTGTGCGGAGGTTGTAGACCACGTTCACGGGGATGAGAACGGCGCAGGTGAGAACGGCGATCGCGGTGAACAGCCAGCGGCACATCCGGACGAAGCGGAGGTAGATCGCCGCGTCGAGACCAATTTTGTCCACTAGTTCCGGCTCCTTTGTATGCAGCAGTGGCGACACCCATCCCAGGAAGCTGTCTGATGCGCGTGGGGGAACCTTGTTGCCGACGTGGTACTTGACCTTCGGCTCGTAAACGATCTAAGCATGAGAAGGTTTGGTGAGAACTGCATGCATGCAGAATCATGGCGCAGGATGGAATGACAAAAGCACTGGGTACATCTGACCGCATGAGAGTCATGTGCAAGTTTCCTGATAACCATGCAAGGGTAAACATGTTAATGACACCCGTCGCAGTGCGGCCTATGCAACCCGCCATTCCTTCCGAGTTGCAGCCATGTCTGACGGTGTAGTCGCCTATCGCGAACTTAAAACATGATCCAGGGCTTCGCGCGTTCAGGGAAGACATCCCGGCCCCAACGCGCTAAGCGCCATTCGGGTCCTATCTCTCACGATGGGCATGGTGACCGTCATATCAACATGGAAGTTAAGAGTGACCGAAGATGACGAAACGGAGACACAAATTGTTCCAGGAGGTACCTCTCGTAGAGCTCCCGCGGATGCTCCCCACAGGTCGCGTATCGGGCGGGATGGCGTGCAAGTCGTGGGCACATCAGGACAGCTCGTGTTACTGGCGCAACCGTTACGATTCACAAACAGAGAACGTGCCGTAGACTCCCTGCACGATGGACATATATTGCGTTATGAAAGAGACGCCCCCGGACATCAAGTCTGTTTGCTGCGCCTACACCTGGTAGACGCGCCACTGCGGAGCATCCGCATGGATAGCACCCACAGAAGACATGCTGGAACGTGCGCCGTTGGGTACCTGCCCCACAATGGCGTGCTTATCAAAACGTGTGGGAGGGCCAGAGTGGAGGCTGCCGATTGTGCCTGTGAGAAGGCATTGCAGACCGGACGGCAGGTTCAGGAATAGCGCCGCGACACACACACACGGAGAGCATGAACTGCGGGCCACAATAGCCGGAGCAGGTTTGTCTGAGCTCAGAGGCCTTGCTCCTGTACAATATCCCCCGCACGATCATGACCGCCCAACGAAGGAGCACTCTGCTGAGGGAACAAATGCCCCCAGAAATGTGGTCATCTAACCCAAGGTCATCTACGCACGGAGTGCGCGTGTGCCTTTAACAAGCCCCAGTGAACTGTGTCAAGAGACATCCGGCGCTGGCGAAGCGGCCATGGGTTGCACTGAGAGGCCTACAATACTGCTTCAAGAACAAGCGTACCAGCCTTTGTCCTCATGAGATCCTGTAAACCACGCCGCGGCGAGGCATGTGGGAGCGCCGGTGAACTGTTTGCGGTCGTAGGCGCAAAAATGTCCACCGCACTGCACTGCAACACTGATACGGACATAGCATCAAGGAGATTTATACCGCGCAGCGCCCGTAAAAAATGTCCTCAGGGCTCGAAGAACCTGCTTTCCATCGATTCTTGGAGCCCGCAGAATGGATGTAGCCACAAATAACCAGAGGAGTGCAGAGGCAATCAAAGGGGCGGGCAGAGGCAACCGAAGTTGTGAACAGTAAGACTACACACCTTGTTTCTGGGGCGCAGTACGTTGAATATGACGATCGTCGCCAACTGTCAATGCGTCCGGACGTCAACGCCATACGCAGCCTTGCTTTCCGGCGTGAAGCACTCACCGAGATGCCACTCATCAACGCGACCTGGGAGGCCACTGCGACCGGCGCGAGCTGCCGTTGGCTTGTGGTCTCATCTACGAAACCGCCGAGTGTGTCTTCTGCAGACATGGGGATTGAAAGATCGAGTTAATTGTTAGACGAAGCGTTTGAGCCCGCTCGAGGGCGGTTGGGGTCCTCCAGACAGAGAGAAACGGAAAACAGGGACAGAGACCGATAGAATAGGGCAGAGACGGAAAGATGGCCCAGAGCGGGAGGAGAATGTTGTGGACAAAAGACAACGATGACTGCAGAGAGCACGCAGAACAAAGGTCCGGTACCATCGGGCGCTTGCTTTCCGAGGCAGTGTTCAAGACTCCGCGAGAGAACAATCGCCGGATCTCTATAAAGAACTAGCACTTATCGCAGCTGAATTTTGCCGGAAAGTACCCCTATGTTCGCCATTTGCTAGCAGAATTGGTTTCCAGGGGTTCTAATATTCACGGAGCTACTCCATCCAACCTCCATGGCAAGTTTGCGCACAAATCGGCACAGTTGTCCGTCTCGTGTGAAAGGCCACCCACCTCTGATATCAAAGGATCTGTGCTCTCGCTTGTTTTCGTCACGGATCGCGCCGGGGGAGCTCCATCTCGGCTGGACGAGTGCTCCTCGTCATCACGCTTCTACGAAGCCGCCGGCACAGTACTTAAGTAGTTGCTAACCTGCGTGCAAACACCTACTGTACTGATCCTTTGTATCAACAACAGTTCCACCATATGACGAGACAGATTGGCACGCAGCGTAGCTAACCATACTTATACGCTCAAGCGTAAGTAGGTGGTTTCCTTGAGGAATAAAAAGGTGTATAACGCAGTACAAGTTACAAGAACACTACCATCTCGGGACGGATTTAGCACCGCTTTGTACTTCCTCCCGGCGGCCTGCCCTAAAACAGTGACTTCTCATTCGGAGGTACATAGTTTCCCTTATATCATCCACCCCAGGCCTACCACTCGGCCCCGAATGGGACTCCATGCGAGTCCTTTCATGTGCCGATCGATCTCGTAGCACTCGTCAAACCATACCATGTCCTCAACAGGCAATCTCGACTCCTTCGTGAAGTCCTCTAAGCCCCCACCCGCGCCCACCGCGACCTCGCAGGAGATTCGCGACCGCGCCTCCCTCTTCGTCGGCACCATCTTCCCCGCGAGCACCCCGGAGGATGCTCGCCGTGCGGTAAACCACCTCAAGCACGTCGTGCATCGCGCGCGGCCCGCCACGCACGAGATTGCGGCCTGGCGGTGCATGGTGCTCAAGCCGGGCAAGAGCGGCTTAGGCGGGCCTGATGACTTCGAGGTCGTCAGCGGCGCCGACGACGACGGAGAGACGCACGCCGGGGGAAGGGTGCTCAAAGTCATACAGGCCGAAAGCGTCATCGACGCTGTTGTCGTTGTTAGTCGCTGGTATGTACTCCATGCGTACGACGTAATAGACGGCCAAAGTCGATATTGTGGTAACGCTGACAGAATTGGGGGATCACGCAGGTATGGGGGCGAGATGCTCGGCCCTGTGAGGTTCGAACATATCGAGACGTGCGCGCGGGAGGTGTGCCGCACGTTCCGGCTGAAGGACGATATGGTGACGTGTGTCGCGACTCTCACGTCCCTAGATGACATATTGGCCTCCCTCCGCGCGGAATTGGCGTCAGTCACAGCCCGCAAGACTTCCTCTGAGCCGACGTCCAGCCAGTCGGCTGCAAAGAGGTCTACGGCCAAGCCTTATGCCACTCTAGAGGAATCGCTTGATATCGCCAAGGCAAAGCGTCTTATCACCGCTCGGGAGAATTCTATAAAGAGCGTCAAACAAGCACTCAAGAAGGCCCGCGAAAGGGAACCTGAACAAGGGTAGATACACCGATGTACTTATCTTTGCTCTATCTTCCTCATGAACTCAGCCTCCCACGACTACCGCAGAACTATGTATGTAGAATGCCTCACGTAGCGGAAGCGGCCCGGCGCTCGATCGAATGCACCATCTTCGCTTGCTCCGCCTCTCATGATCAACAGTCATCTACCCACGCCTCGTGAGCGACCGCCTCTTATACGATAAGGCGTGCCGCGTTTATGTGCTCGAGTCCACAGGCAAACGCTCACGCGTGTTCTCGTCCCACCATGTACTTGCTAGCCGCTACCATCTTCGCTGCGGCCCTCTTGATAGGCCTATATTCTTGGTTCAGCTCGCATGAGAGAAAGGATGCCGGGGTTACTGGCCGTAACTCGGACTTCAAGGAGAAGGGGCAAACGTTTGTGCCAGGATCGTCGCTCCCTAATCCTGATCCGTTGGTTAAGTTCGATATCGAGACGGCGACGGCTCGCAACTTCGTGTATGCCAATAAGACAGTACGATACCCATATTACCAGGTGAGTACAGCGCAGTTCCTGAACAAACGGGCTGATCAAAAAGCGACCTCGCAGACTATGGCACACCAGCCCATGCATGTCAACCACTGGATAGAGATCGATAAGGAATACAAATGGTACCTCGGTGAGAAAGCGCGAGTGATTCGCGAACAAGGTAACTTGAGACAAACTTGCCTGTCATCAGGTCAACCGATGCAGAATCTGACTGTGTGCTAGGCAAAGTGGTCATCGACTCCCTGCCCGACAATGACGAGGCGTGCGGTGAGCTCCTACTGGAGTTGGTGGACTACCTTCCGAAGCGATACCCCACGCTGTTTACGCATGAGGGGCCTGACGGCATCGTCAACCTCGTGACTGGAGAGCACCATGTCTCTCTCGGTAACAGGAAGGGAGTTGACGCACTGCTCGTTGTTTCTCGGTATGTACTGAACCGCTCGAGCACCCCACATAGGCTGATCAGGCATGCAGTCTGGTTCAAGACGATTTTCTGATGGGCCGTGAGCGCGAAGATGGTAAGATATACCTTGTGGGAGGACTCATCGCATTCCCTGGTAGCCTTCATCTCCTATCGTGAAGCCAGTGCCTATTGATAAACATTTTCCGTAGGATTCTACCTTCTATCTGAGACGATCAATAAGCCTCTCGAAGTTCTGCATCGACCCGTCCCTCACTTCAATGAGAAGCTGCTTATGAGCGTCGAGCGTACGCTCAAGCGCTTTCAACCGGACCAGCCATTCGAGCGATCAAGTTGGATGATCGCCGACGACCGTAACCTGTTTTGGCGTGAGTCTGGACCACTCACCGTGCCATAGGAAGACGCTCACTGGCGCTAATATGATGGTAGACAATATCGCCAGTGCACCCCCTGACCCTAACATCCACCCTAAAGACTTATGGTTACGGATCGATCACCAGACTTTCCGCAAGCTGCCGAGGACTAACGCAATCATCTTCGGAGTGTGAGCATTTGAGTATTGGCGAGATCAAGCTCTGTCCCAAGAGATAACTGAACCCTGGCCACGGCATAGACACCCGATCATGCGAAGGATTGAGGACCTAGCGGATAGCCCTCTGGTGCCGACTCTACTGGAAAAGGTGCACTTAGAAACAGACGATACGCTTCTGACGGTGAGAAAATGCGCCTTCATTTGCTGATTCGAAATCTGAGATTGGGATCAGTATAAGGGAACACACAAATATCACGACATCCTGCTCCCCTACTTGCGCGAGCTCACTGAGAGTCAGGTAGAACGCGGTCTAATCAGGTAAGTAAATCACATCACCTTGGCGATGATATAGTTGTTCATTTCATTCTTCTACAGGGAAGAGGACGACGTACGATCGTTCCGAGAGCTGTTGAGGGAGAGGGGCATGCAGGTTCCTTGGAGACAGTCTACTCTCTCAGTCCCGACAGAATCGGAGATGAGGCTAAGTGTCACTGCGAAAGATTAGGTGGGTGTCGATTGACTGAGATGTAATGGTAGTGTCCGCTGAGGTTGTTCCTGCGTCGTGTCTCAAACATTCAACTTGAAGAGCACGTGAAAGTCTCGCGATTCTGATTTCCCGACTCCGTAGTCTGCGCCTCAAGTCTCACATACAGATATACCACCTTATATTTTCGTATGGGTCATTTCATGAAAATGAGAAAAATCCTATGAGGTCTTGTATCGTCGAAGTGCGTGGGCGCTAGCTCCGCATGTAGTGCGCGGAAGAACTTCGGAAGAACGTCCTCCAGGCTATGTTAAGTAATACAGTATCAATCTGTCGCCCACGTTTCTCTCCTGCTGTCCGTCACCCACAGGCGTACTTATCGCCACCTTGAAGTCGAAGCCACTTACTGCAGTAGGTTGCAATGACTCATTGTTCGTCATGAACACGATCTCATGATCGGCAAGAAACGCGTTCAGTGGTCCATGAGATAAGAACAGGTAAGGCTCGGTGCCACAACGCCTTTGTCACTCAAAACATCGCACCCTCACAACCATCATTTCAGATGTCTGAAGAGGTAGTTCCACTTGGAAATATTGTGTCCAATCTCCTATACTGCCAACCCAGTGGTCAAAAGGCCGATGGTCACCATCCTCGTGCGAATGATTCCCCGGATATCAGGATGCGCGCCGTGCTACCTGAACCGCAGACCGCCGCGCAGCCTGCCTTGACTGCAATGATGGACACAGGTGCAAATCCTAGTCAACAAGCGGACTCTGAGGGCGGCGAATCCCCAGTATCAGCCATTCACGGCAATATTGACACGTCAACACGTTTGAAGGCAAACATCATGTATGGGGCTCTCCTGTACAGCATGCTGCTTTCTGGGTGGAACGATGGTACCACGGGCCCCCTATTGCCGCGGATACAAGCAGTATACCACGTATGTGTTTGTGAAGCTGTTAAGCGCCTTCCGGTCGAAGCTGAGGAAGGACCTATGCAGATCGGTTTCGCTGTTGTCTCCCTCATATTCGTACTGAACTTCCTTGTGAGCATATGATAGACGACTCCATACGATGGGGAGAAGCTGATCGTTAGGACGGCGATCTGACACAGGGCTTCCTGCTGGCCGCATCCTTGAACGTATACCTTACTGACCGCTTCGGGTTCGGGAAGGTGATTGCTTTCTCACAACATCGACTACACTTCCTGTACTTACACTTTACGCGTCAGGTTTTGGTACTGGGGGCAATTTCTCAGGTTATCAGTTATGCTATCGAAGCCCCAGCACCGCCTTTCCCGGTCTTCATTATTGGGTACCTCATTCAAGGGTTCGGTATATCTCTCCAGGTGCGAAACATCTCATTGACTTCCTTGAATACCGTGTTCTGACGTGTCAAACAGCTCGCGGCCTCAAACAGCTTTGTTGCCAGATATAGTGACAACGTTTCCACCAGGCTTGCTGTGCTGCACTCCTTCTATGGCCTTGGAGCGTTATCGTCCCCTCTGGTGGCAACACAGTTCTCGCAGTTGAGATATTGGTCCTTCCACTATCTTGTCTCGTTAGGACTCGCGATCGTGAACGTGGCGGTCCTCTCATTCGTCTTTAAATTCCGTACCCAGGACGGCGAGTGCCCCCCTCCCCGCCTAGCTCCAATATCTAGACATGAACTGACTTGTCGTCACGTCCATAGCTTGCCTTACGGAAATTGGTCTCGCATCACAGCTAGAGGAGGGATCGAACGAGGGCAGTAGAAGCAAGTACAAACAGATGATGCACCTTCGCGGCTTCCATCTCATGGCGCTCTTCATCCTCGTGTACGTTGGGACGGAGGTGACGCTCGGAGGTCAGTGTGCGCATCCTGACATGCGAGGTGCGACTGACACGTATTCTATCAGGATGGATCGTCACTTATGTGGTCGACCTGCGCGGCGGAGGCCCGTCTTCCGGGTACATATCATCGGGTTTCTTCGGAGGTACGTAACTACGACTGTATGTCTGCAAATATAGCTAGTGTTCACTGATACACGAAGGGCTCATGGTTGGCCGTATCGCCCTCCTTTGGATCAACAAGTTGGTCGGAGAGAAGCGCGTTATCTACCTCTACGGTGTACTCGCCATCGGGTATCATTTGCATCCATTTCCTTTCACGAACACACTGATCATACCCCAACAGGCTCGAGATCGTCGTCTGGTTCGTTCCTTCGCTCGTGGGAGACGCCCTCGCCGTCTCATTCGTTGGCATGCTGCTGGGCCCAATGTATCCACTCGTCATGAACCACGCGCGACACGTCCTCCCCCCTTGGCTTCTCAACGGATGCATTGGATGGATCGCAGGGTTCGGGCAGGCGGGATCTGCGCTCCTGCCGCTCCTCACGGGCCTGCTCGCGTCGAAGGTCGGCATCAAGGTCTTGCAGCCTCTGTGAGCGATCTGGCTTCATCTTCAAACTAGCTCTGTTGACTGAGGGATTATGGCTCGACGCAGGGTTGTTTCGATGATGGGCTTGATGGTTGGAGTGTGGGCCCTTGTTCCCAACACGCCTCGTCGGCACGAGTAGGATCTGATTGTTCGTCGCTAGCGTATAGGAGGTTTGGAGAGTATATACGCTCGATATTTCTCGTCTGCATAGCCAGAGCCGCGTCCCAAATTCACGGCCACCTCCGACTACTCTCCCCGGGAAACGGGGCGTTTCCGATGGTCCCTGTGAAACGCGTGTGTCTGGCTTGTGCTTGGCTGTGCTGTGGGAAAAAGAACGTTGGCCCGCTATGGATCGCAATGGATGGAGTCTTGCTTGCTATGAGAGCGTTGAAGGTGACTGGCAGCTCAACTCAAGCCATCTGCCATGGGTTCGTCGGCGGCTGCGCCGCAGCTGAGTGGGAAGGAGAAAACGGAGTCTTTCGGAGTGTAGCACAAATATACACATGCTGCAGGCTCAGCAGCAAGGATCTTCGCCCGCAAAGTAGGAATGAGTCGACGGTAAATTGCGGTAGGCCGCCAAGGTACAGGCAAGATTTGCTATGCTGTTGATACCCGAACACTCTGCTTGTCATATTCAAGATACTAGCCATTTCTGTCCAACCTCTACAGCATGCGGTCCTTGCGATGATTCTGGGCGCGCATAGTCCTAATTCGCAAGTCTGATTAGCATAAGACGCACATGGTAGAAGTCTCGGCGTAGACTCACTTGTAACCATCACTTGGACATAGCTCACACAATGCGCCGCATGTATTGACGTTGTACTAGATCCCGCCTAGCCCTATGAGGACGGCATCAGGCCCTCGCAGACGAAGTCGTTAGTAAGCTCAGCTACGATACGGAGATGATAGTATGAGATGGAGAACCTCAGAACATTGCTTAATTGATCGATCATAGCAGGTACCATCTGTCCTCCTAGAGCACAGAGCACAGTGGTCCAGTCAGGTAATAGGGAACATAGTTTCGCATCGTGGACCTCTATGTGCGCCAGCGCACGACACCAAGTTGGATGACCAGCTGGCAAAATGGCGAGTATAGATGGGGCTCACCTACGTAGCACCACAAGAGTCATGTCGCGTACCTGCCTCCCATCTCCCATTATGCCAGCTTCGCATATCATTCTTTCGATGCGCTGAGCATGGAACAGTCGTGTCGACCAGGGTACGTGAGATTCCTTGGATATCTTATATGAAGGCTTTCGCGGACCAAGGCGAGCAGACAGAAGTATCCATGATATTTTAAGCAGAATGAGCCTCACAAGCCCCAAGCGGGAAACAATCTGGAGATAATTGGGGTTGATCGCCTGGAATCGAATGCACCGCGCAGCGACCAAAGCATGAGAGACCTCGAAGTAAGCGGATAAGAGACAACCATTGTAGTAGCCTACTATTGGCGCCGGAAAGCAGTATAGTACGGCGCCGGCGCGCGTCCCAGACGAGGGGTGCTCAATTCTTGTCGGTCGCTCGGTTGCTCGCGCGCCTATCGGGCGCCTGCCTCCCTGAATTCAATGTCAGCTCAAGCCTTTGCAGCACAGCGAGCAGAGGTGGGCCGGCAGCGGGTGCAGAGATCTCGACGGGATTGTCCCATGCTATATTTGTTAGGCCCGGGAAACCAGTCCAGCAAGTGAATGGTGACGTCGGGAGAGCTTATAAATTCGTTGACCTGGACTTATTGTACACAATGCGCCCAAATTAGAAACAGATTCAGCACGACATAAGGTTGGCCCAACGAAGATTCGACACCTCCCGTCACGCCTGTCACACTGTCCGTGTCCCGCCCCTCCACTGCGATTTCGGGGTATCGGCTCGTATAAAATTGAGCTATAGGCTCTGTGGTACCATACATGCCGCCTATCCAAGTTTTTTCCTCAATGCAGAGGGAGGGGAAAGCAGCGAGGGACCTCGCAAGCTCACGTGATAATCACGTGATGGGGTCGAATCTTCGTTGGGCCAACCTTATGTACATACGGTTCAGCTGGGGGTGCCGCTCTGACTCCTCGATGGCAACTGGACTCAATCCTTGTGGGACGACTCCGCATATCGAGTCAAGGAACTCTCTAGCTTCTGAATTGTTAGATTTTCGCGTCGCTCTCTAGTTCCAGCTCGGGGACATCATGCGGTCGTGTTGCACCCGCTGCCTGTCCGTCTCTGCTCGCTGTGCCGCAGGCGCTTGAGCTGACCTTGAATTCAAGTAGGCAGGCGCCCTATAGGCGCGCGAGCAACTGAGCGACCGACAAGAATTGAGCACCCCTACGGTCCGGGACGTTTGTGTACTTACCTTGACTCTAAAGGGCGGTTTTAACTTCTCTTGGCCGTGTGCTGAAGCCTGGAAGTACCGCATGAGCCCGGACGTTGACTATCGGAGAAGCGCAGTACTAGTTTACCGCTCGACGGGTGCTGCTTACCGCAGCAGCCTATAAGTCAAGATGAGTAGTGAGCAATTCTGCCGCAGGTCTAACTCGCGTCTTGACCATTTAAGAGGGCACGTAGTCTGCTGCTGGAATTTCTTCTGACGCCCCGCACTTTTCTACCAGCTTCTCAGCAACAACTCTCTGCACAGCGAAATGACTACACGACCTTCATCGCCGGGCCTTCGTCGGAAGGCTTCCTCTGACGCTTCCCCCTGTTCATCTGCATGCGATAGGCCGGGCGGCGCAGGGCAAGATAACTCGTCTGCTTCGTTCAACCTCGACCAATTTACTACCTATGGCGTCACGTTCACGTCGAGCACGATCACGCGAACCTTCATTGCCTCTGCATCCAGCAATCCTCTCGCCACTCCAGACTCCGATACTCACTCGAGGGAAACTGGTGCGCATAAAGCCATCCCATCCACTTCTTCCAAATTCGACCTCCCCTCCAAAGAAACCTGCAATTCTACCGCACTCCGTCCTGTTGCCACCTCGTCCAGTGCCGGACCGATCAAACAGGGAAAAGCCGAGCCCTCGCTGTCGCATTTTCCGCGAGAAGCGCCCCAGGATGTCGACGCAGAACTCAGCGCAATCTTAGACGGGGTCTCTACACACCACGTGACCCCCGCGACTGATCGACTTGTCGCGTATGCCAACAGGTCTGCGAATGAGAGGGATGGGCGTAGTCTCATTCGTGTGGCCAATGTGATAGTCGAGAAGGCGATGGACGACATGGGAAGATCCGAACTCTATGCCCAGCTCTGCCATGGCATCTCCGAGCGCATTGACCCCGGCATTCGCGCCTCGGGTGTCAAGGCTGCCAACGGAAAGCGCTGCGCTGGCGGCCAGCTCTTCCGGAAGTTTCTCCTCAATCGCTGCCAGGACGAATTTGAGCGCGGCGTTGACGAGGATAACACTTCCTTCGCCGAAATAGCGACGCGTCGACAACGATACCTCGGACTCGTGAAATTTCTTGGGGAGCTCTTCAAAGTCAAGCTGCTTACGGAGCGCATCATTCAGCAGACGATCCAGACATTCCTCGGCAACATCGAGTCCCCTCGTGACTTCCACATCGATGGTCTCCACACAATCCTGACCACGGTTGGGCACCTCCTTGACACCGAAGAGGGGCGCGAGCACTTGGACGTTTACTTCCAGCACATCAAGGAGCTCTCGGAGAGTAACGCCGTAAGCCCCCGCCTCCGGTTGATGCTGCAGGTGCTTATGTACGTGTGTCTTTTCACCAATGCGAGCTTACTGATGCTCGTGCCACGCAGTCCTTGATCGAATTGAGACGAGAGCAGTGGTATGACAAGCTTGAGGCCCCTTCATGCACCTGGGATGACGAGGGCTCTAGTGGCCACATCCTCGGCGAGCTTAACGCCCCATGGGCCAAGATGCGCGCGGAATCAGGTCCTATCGTGGTTACTCTAGCCGATGATTCCCGCTATTCTCCGACCTCTGCATCCGACGATGCCGTCGAGAGTCCACTCGAGTCCACGCCCTTGTCTGCAACCAACGCCGGAGTGGAGCACGTTGAGGACCTCTCCCCGAACCTCTCTTTGTGCAAGCCCAGGGCGGAAATTGGCGTGGAAGAAAATGTCTCTGAATTCTTCTCCCTACGCGGTCTAGTCGAAGCGGAAAGGTACTTCTCCGACCTCCCGACGGAGTACCACCATCTCCAGATTCACAGGTTCGTCGCCTCGACGCTGCGGTTGGAGAAGGCAGATGCCTACCTCGTTGCAGCCCTTTTCGCCCACACCGTCGCCCGAAACATCTGCTCGCCTGCCTCGTTTGAGGAGGGCTTCACACCCACGGCGAAGCATATTGGGGACATCGCGAGTAGCGCCCCGAAGGCCTTCGAGGTGTTCGCAATCATGTTCAAAGGGGCGCGATTGGACGAGGACTTTGGCCGCTGGACCCGGATCTTGAACGAGTCGACTGCGAGCGACGAATTGATTGTCCATATTTTTGGTTGTCCCGCTTCCGCTCTCCCACAGACGCTGCCTCGCGTTGCCCCCGCTGTCGCCAACCTAGCGGTGTCCAGAGTAGTTCCTGGTCCTTCAAACGAGCCAAGTGGACGAGTATCCACTGTGACGCAACAGTCCCCGCCGACCACAGACTGCGAAGACGCTCACGTCTGTGGTGAAGCTCCGCTCCTGCACACCGACGCACCGCCTATCCGCCTTCCGTCCCAGTCTCCGCCCCTTGAACGAGCCGGATCTCACGAAGTGGCTGCGGGTGGGGTTGAAGAGACTCTAGCTTCTCCTATCAGTCATCCATTCCCAGTCAGCGACCATACTCCCCCCATTCCTCGCCGTATGTCCCAGAAGGAGGCCAATGAACGCATCGACACGAGCGTCGAGATGCTCCTGGGTGGTCTACACGACATCGACAAGGCGCTCACCATCTTCACGGACCTTCCGCCGGGGTACCACAGTCGCCTCGTGGACAGGATTGTCTCCTCAGCGATCGAGCTGACACAGACGGAAGCGCAACTCGTCGCGTACTTCTTCTACTGCGCGGCTGCGAAGGACTTGTGTTCCGTTGCAGCGTTCGAGGGTGGGTTCTCCCTGATTGCTTCTGCGCTGGAGGACATAAGGATCGACCATCGGAAGGCGTTGCTGCTCTTTGTTACGATGGCGAAGGGTGCTGGGTTACACAAGAAGTCAGATTGGTGCAATCGTTGTATGAACGCGCTAGAGTTACAAGGAGATGGCCTCAGGTAGCTATCAGGATAAGCGTGTACGACATGTAGACTGAAATCGTCTAGTCTCTCCTGTTTTTGATATGGATATGTCACCCAAGCCGACAAACATAGGAGCGGGCATGGAAACCTCATGTACTCGTACCATCTGCATCCATGCCGTAACGCTCGTCATTCTTTGTGACGTCGGGCAAGCTCGTATCGTTATCCAAGTCCGCGACGCCTAAAAGCCTCACATGAATGCGACCCCCATTCCGATCAAACACCCGCCAAGAAGCGCCGAGGCCCAGATGCCTAGCGCCCGTGGAAGCCCCGTCCAGAAGTACGCCACTATGCCCAGCAACGCCAGTGTGAACCCTAGCTGCGTCATAACCGCGACGACGGTGTGGCATTTCGATAGCGTAGCCACCATAGACCGCAGTGTGGCGACCGCCTTGTCGGTCGGTGATGCCTCCGGATCGCGCTTCTCGCCGGTCTTCCTCGTGGCCGCACGGCAGGGAACGCCGAGGAGGCCGAAGAAGCGCATTTGTTGTACTGTGACGAGGGAACGGAGGTCGATGTACGCGTCCCAGATCGGGTCGCGGGCAGGGGTCACGGATACGGTAGAGAGAGACTGCGCGTTAGCAGATGACGGGGCCTTCCATTGCGCGATTGGGGTTGCAGACGGGGGATCAGCTTCATGCTCTTGGTTCTCTGCATCAGTGAGCTGGTAGCGTATGAGGACGAAGGACGCCGTGTAAGCCACGATGGCTGAGGGCGAGAAGAAAAAAGGCGCCAGTGTTAGCTTGAAGCGGGATAGCTCAAGAGCATTGCTTGAACTTACATGCGCAGACGTGCAAGATGATCGCCCCGCCTAAGCTTGCTGAAATCAGCAAGTCTGTCGACGACCACTCGTTTGGATCGGCGGGACGGGCAGGGAATGAGTAGACCAGGCTGTCTATCGAAACGAAGAAGGAGGTCTGAGTTTCAGATGTTCATGTTGAGTATATACGCAGTGAAAGGAGCCTTTGTGACTGACGATGACCGCCATGGCTTGGAGGCGATCAAGCCAGATCTGCACGACAGAAAGCAACGCCTGCTTCGTGGCATCGTCTGGGGTCGTCGGAGGCATAGCTGTAGTGGCGCTTCAGCAACGTATATGTGAGATCAGATCGAGAGCGTCACGCACCGGGGGGAGAACCCACCGCAGCGAGCGATCTGAACATTACGAGAGTATGTGGTGGATAGAGACTAAGAACCGACAAAGAACATCCAACGCAGCACAGACCGCTCCTTTTATGGGACCGTCAAGGAGGGCAGAATCCGGCTCACCGCTTCCCATGTTGAGATGGTTCTATTCACCTCAGGATCCCACAGTGCGGCCTCGCTGTCTATCCGGCCAGGCACCACATCCACAGGAAACGATTGGCATCATCTTCTCTGCCACTGTCGCCTGCCAGAGAGGGTTGGCTGGCTCCTGGTCCCTTGGGACCTGCATCTTCCCCCCTGCTACCTCATCTCCTTGCTCTGCAGCTACTGTGCACAATGCGGGTTATTTCCCGCTCTCATGTGAGCTGGTGACTGGTAGAAATCGTGAAGGCTCTAGTGGTGTTATCGTGGGATTAGAGAACCCCCAAAAAGGCAGTACAGGCGCCCAGAAACCCAGCCAGCGCGCCGTACTTAAGTATACTGCCTTCCGGCGCCAATAGTAGGCTACGACAGATGTCTTTGATCAGCTGTTATCCGCTTACTGCGAGGTCCTTCAGGCTCTGGTCGCTGCGCGGTGCATTCGATTCCACGCGATCAACCCCAATTATCTCCAGATTGTTTCCCGCTTGGGGCTTGTGACGCTCATTCTGCTTTAAATATCATGGATACTTCTGTCTGCTCGCCTTGGTCCGCGAAAGCCTTATATAAGATATCCAAGGAATCTCACGTACCCTGGTCGACACGACTGTTTCATGCTCAGCGCATCGAAAGAATGATATGCGAGGCTGGCATAATGGGAGGCAGGTACGCGACATGACTCTTGTAATGCTACGTAGGTGAGCCCCATCTATACTCGCCATTTTGCCAGCTGGTCATCCAACTTGGTGTCGTGCGCTGGCGCACATAGAGGTCCACGATGCGAAACTATGTTCCCTATTACCTGACTGGACCACTGTGCTCTGTGCTCTAGGAGGACAGATGGTACCTGCTATGATCGATCAATTAAGCAATGTTCTGAGGTTCTCCATCTCATACTATCATCTCCGTATCGTAGCTGAGCTTACTGACGACTTCGTCTGTGAGGGCCTGATGTCGTACTCATAGGGCTAGGCGGGATCTAGTAAAATGTCAATACGTGCGGCGCATTGTGTGAGCTATGTCCACGTTATGGTGCTCGAGGGATTACGTACCTGTTGCGTCTTCGGCCTGGACTGCGAAGACAGACGCCGCTTGTGCTCAGTGCTACGACTCACACTTTGGAGCGGAAAGCAGGGTCACAGAATCAGTAGGAATCACGCTGTTACCCGCCCTAGCCACCTGAGTCATGTTCATCACATTGCTTCATTGCGGCAGCCCGTGCACGTCCATAGTTACATGCCATCGGTGTACGCTTATGTACAGGGATGGACTCTCCTCTTCAATGTCCCTTACGTTCACAGAGTGGCCTTCCGCTTTCTGAACAGAATTTCTCCCTTTGGATTCGGGACGATGTTCGTGGCAAAGCAGATGTTTGGGGGGCGCTCTCCGTCTCCGCCAATCTTCAAGTCGTAGTTGACAACGATGTACGCCAGGATTGCCTTCAGCTCGTTCGCAGCGAAGAAGCGGCCTGGGCTATACGAGGAGGATCGCAAGAAAACCCCCTAACTGCACGAAGATGCAACGGAGAGTACATACCATGCATGCTTGCCATGGCCGAACGAAACGTACTCGAGGGAGGTGTTCACAAATTGGTACTTCATACCCTCGCCCTCAACTTCGCGCATGCGCGAGAAACGGAATGGATCGAACGTGTTCGCGTTCTCGTAGATCGTATTGTCGTGGTGGATAGGGTATGACGCCGTGACGATGAGGGAGCCTTTCGGGAGGACGGTTCCATCGCTAAGGGCGACGTCTTTCATAGCCTTGCGCGTAACAGACGCTACAAAGTGGTAGTGAGAACACACGCTGCATTGCTGAATCGAGGAGGGTGCCCAAACGCCACGCACTGAGGCCAATACCGTTGAATCGCTGAGACTCCCGCAGGAAACTATCCAGCTTCCACATCTTTCCCATCGCCGCTTTCGTCCACCCTTCAGCCGCTACGATGGGTTCAATCTCTTCGCGGAGGGGTTGTATATACTCGGGAGCAGCTGCTAGATCGAAGAGCGCGTGGGTCATGCTCTGTTGAACCAACGGGGGTGTTAGTGTGGCGACAGCACTCTCAGCCGATACTAAAAGCGGCGTACGTTCGAAGAGGTGTGGATAGCGGCGAAGTTGACCAGGAGAATCCTCTGCACTATAGCCTCGTCTGTACACCTCCTGGGGATCGCCTGTTCCAGGATCCACTCCAGCATGTCGTTCTTAGTCACATTATATTGTTGAGCAACAGGGAACAATTGTAGTCGTAGTATAACTGCTCACCGGCTTGCCTTCCCATGGCTCTCCTAAACCGTGCTCTTCTATCTTTGCCTTCCGTTCGTCCAACAGAGGCTTGATGTGAGGGATCGCCCGACGAGTACTGGTTTTCACATTGGTCGTGAGCCCGGCGATGAAGCTATACACACATCCATCAAGGTTACATGGACTAGCCGTGGTTAGTTTATGTCAACACACTTACCCTTTCATGAAATCGGGGAAAATATTGATGATCGTCCGGTCCTTGATGACGTCAACGGTGAAAGCAATCGCGATGTCCAGGTACGCCTGGTTGCGGCCTATATGTATGCAGACGATTGGTATATGAATCATGGATGCAATAAATATGTAGTATACTCACAAACAGGCAGACCGACGAATACGCGGTTGCTGACTCGCGCGACCACGTTCAACATCGTCTTCAACACGTTGACGGAGATCCACTCTGAACCATCATCATTACTCGGCTTTGTATCCGGTACATACAACTGCGATACTTGTACCTGTCTCGTTAGCTGGAATGTAGTTCGGCACAGCATAAGTCAGTTCGTCGATAACGTCCGGCAACACCACCGGCAGGGTGCGCATCAGCTTCTCCTTGATGATGTCGACATGGTACGGATCGCTAGTCATCTCGGGACCCAGCGTATACCTCGTTTGGATGAGCTGCGTATGAAACCATTAAAACTCGACACAACCGGTCTCAGAGGATATTAGACACGTACGTCTTCTACGCCTTCGACGAACGACAGCTGCTCGTCCGCATGCCTCCTGACCTCGTCCACCAGCTTTGACCCACTTACAACAACGAGCCATTGGTCGATGAGCGCAACTTTGAAAACTGAGCCGTGGAACTATCGTAGCAGAAGGACCGTGATACAATAAGCCAGGTTGGACGATTGACAGATCGACTGCGACACGCACCTTCTGATACCCTTCGGTGAGCAGTTCCCTGGGGTGGAGCAGGAAGTTGAGTGCAGACAGGTAGCAGAGGATAGGCGCAGAGGGCCCGCCGACAGTAGGTATAGAGTTGAGCTGGAAGTAGTGGGGGACGAAGGCCGCCGCAAGTCAATCACCGCTCTACTCGAGCAAGGGATTCCATCAACGTTGACTCACCGGGTTCGTGCGCCAGCGGATAACATAGGCTGCGACCAAGACCGCTGCTACTGCGTACAAAACAGCTTGCGTATCCTCCATTGCGGCTGACTGACGACAGTAGTAATGCGACAAATGGGGTCGGCGGACGCCCCGAGTCGAACAATATGTGCGAGTAGCGCGGGACATTTCCAGCGCAGAGTACGTTCACGGTATGTTCGGATGCAGACAATCCGGGCCCCGCGACAAGCGGCCGGAAACGGTTCCCATCTGCAAGACATACGCTCTCTGTGTGCGCCGCGCATAAATTATCTGACGCGACTCACCGAGGGGTACAGCCGTTTCCCCGAGAAGCCTGTCCACTTCCAACTCAGACAGGGCGAGAATGGCAGACAAGACCGCCCATGTGCCAATAGGGACGCAGGCTCGGCGGTGCTAGCTACTACTCGCTCTCATACACATGAAACCTTGAGAGCTTACTTGAAGTTACCGTGCACGCGAAGAATGGAAGACGAAAAGATGCATGGGGTGCATGGGAAGATAATGAGCTTCGAAGGCTATCACGAATGACACGAGGACAGAGAACTCACAGCTTACGTAGAGGGCGCATGCCCCTAGTCGTATGTTGCCATTGAGCCGTAGCATGCCTCTCCAGCAGCACGGTTGATAGCCACTTCAACGTGTCGTCGTTGGACAGCGTGGGTATTCGAATCTTCGAACCCGGCAAGGGCCTTCGAATAGAATATTTCTCAAATAAACATTCAGCATAGAAATATGAGGAATACGATACGATGTAGATTACGTGTGTTGTAGAGCAACGCTGAGTAACGTCGTCAAGTGATTGACATGTTATAGAGCCGTTGATTCAGACTTACAGGCATACCGAATGTTCCATCTCAGTCAGATTTGCGCCTATGCATAGATCCAGCAGGCCAGAATATCGCAGCAACTCCAGAGACTATACACGCTCCACAACATGCAGACGCGAAGATGCTCGCACTCAGCGGCATCCGCGACCACGCGAAGCACATAACACCCATTATCGCGAGCACGAACCCAACAGCCGACAGTCCCATGCACAGCGAGTGGCAATGATCCAGCAGGTGCGTCGGTGGCTGCCCGCGGCGGAACGGCCCGACCTGCTCTAGGTGCGGGTTCGACGACCAAACCGATGAACTTGAAACGGTCTCGACCCCGTTGTGCGTCGCCCCTTCCACCTTGCGCTCCTCGTGCTTCGCCACAGAGAGCTTGTATCGGATGAGGAAGAACGCGGCGAGGAAGGAGATGATTGCGGCGAAGACGTGAATGACCAGCGCGCCTGCAAGTGCCGCGTTGGCTGCTTGGTCGATCATGGAGTCCGTCTTCGGGTCGTCGGGCGTCGTGCTGCCAATCAGCTGAGCTTCGATGGCGGCGAAGAAGGTTGTCTATCATTGCATCAAGGACGTTAGCGGACGAGTACCGGTCAAAAGATGGAAGACGCACAATGACGCTGATCAATTGCAACCTGTCCATCCAGGACTGCACTAATCCAGCCATGGCTTTCTGACGCGTTTTCTCGTCATATTCGTTCTGGTCCTCTTGTGTCCCTGCAGGGGTACGTATGTAAGTATCTGTGCCCAGTTGTCCGCGCGGTGTGACCGTAATCGCGACCTAAGGCGCTACGGTCGCCGGTAGGGTGGCCGGAGAGAGGAAGAGGACAACAGGTGCAGACCGGGGTCGGCCGGTCTTCCTGGGGAACCATCGAGCCCGAGAGAAGATAGGGAACTCCCCCGGTTCCTTAGCCCTTGAGTTCATCAGGCATTGCGACACTCCAAACGCAAGCTCAGAGGTATTCTGGAAGCAGATCCTATGGAAGATCAGGACGCGAGAATAGAGGTCGTCAAGGTTAACGGATTCGTGCCCGCTTTGACGTGAGATTCCGAGGCAATTCGATAGGCAGGAACCCACGTCGAGTCCTCTACAAGCTCTGACTACCCCAGTTTCATAAGCGCGATTCGGTCGCTGATTCCGCCGTCAAATCAGCACTTGACCGTGCACTCTGACGATCCTAAAACAGCAACGCAAACAAGATGCACTCACATTTGCGATGGACCAGCTGTGGTTCGCTAACGCCATTGACGTGGAGAGGACCGTATGGATACGGGTACGGGTACGGGGGATGTTGAGGCTCAGTAGGTACGGTGACTCGCCGTTGGTGCTCAGGAAGCGGGCCACCAGCAGTTAACAACTGAAGTGTATGCGAAGGGGTTTGAGGAAGGGAGCTGGGCTCAGCAGTGAAGAATTGGGTATCGTGCAATACAGTCTGTCGGGGTACTATAGAAGCCAAAGGTAAGTCATCGCAGCTAGTAGAGCCGCTGGGTTTGTCGCCAGCAGCTATGGCACGGATAGTACATACTTGGGGCTCTTTCCCTCCTCGATGGTTGGGTGCTCGTCATGTATGAAGCTTGAACGAAGTCATTGTCGTCGTAGACGGTGGCAAGTACTCAATGGGTCCTGGGTCCTCCCCTTGCTGTCGACGAGGCGCCAGAAGCCACGTGGCTCCCCGACATAGCCCCAATCGCCGCTGTAACGGTGACTCCATCGATAACTCACACCGCCGATACCTAGCTTATTCCCCAGGAAATCCTGTCATTCCGACTTAGACTCTATGCCCGCACGAAGAGATCCCAGACAACCGGCCGTGCTTCTTCAAGAAACCTCTTCATTTGAGGAGTTGGATCGTTGCGGGGTGTAGTGTTCGGACATGAGCATTTGGCATGTTGAAGTAGACTTTTGACTCGTATCCGAGGGCTCTTACGACCTAGCATTGTATGAACAGTAGTCCTGGCTCTCCCTGTGCACGAGAACCTGGGATCCCCCGTGAGGTGAGTAGACGCTCATCAGGCTCAGTGCGTTCTGTCAAGGAAGTCATACACATCTGCAGATATCACAGGGATGTGGGGCCATCACATGGCTGCTTATTTCGTATGATCATAAGTATCTCCGAGTCTGCTCTTGCTCGGCCCTGAGGGGTTGAAACATATGGGCTGGGAAGAATATCTCAGGAAGCCCACGCGAACCCGAATCGGCGTCGAGTTTGTGGGAAAACAGAAGGCGGAGACAAGGTCTGCGTGGTCAGGCGCAGCGCAATATAGCGTACCAGCTAGCCGGCATATTTCCCCAGCCAAGGTAAATATATTCACGTTCCCCCCAACATTCTACCACCTCTCAATATGTATGACCTTCCGCCTGCCCTGTACGGTGCTTTGGCTGTCCTTGCAGCTGTATACTTGTTCCGATGGCGAAACGACCCGGTGAGATGCTCTGATCGTAATTACGTATCGCCGAGGACTCACGAGCTTTGTTTTCTACAGATTCACAAGATCCCAACTCTCGGTGGTCCTTCTGCGCCGATCCTATCCTACCTGTCCGCATTCCGTTACATACTCAACAGCAGGCAAATTCTCAAGATAGGTTATGAGAAGGTGCGTCTATACAGCAGGTAGTACGGCACGTTGACAACCCATTTATGCTGCGAATACGCAGTTTCAAGGCTCCTCCTTCAAGGTAGCTCTTCTAGACCAATGGATGGTGATCGTGAACGGACCCCAATTGCTGGATGAGATCAGGAAGCGGCCAGACGAGGAGCTCTCATTCTTGGAGAGCACCGAAGATGTATGTTGCGCCACTCCCTCGGTGACCTCATGTTCTCGCCCGATGCTTACCATCGAGGCATTGCTTCAGTTCCTTCAAATCACTTGGATCCTTGGACCTGAACCACACGACGATCCGTACCATATAGATATCATCAAGGACAAGTTGACGAGGTCCCTGCCCGCGGTCCTCCCGGACGTAGTCGATGAGCTCCGGTCAGCCATGCCGCGGTACATACCAACTCACGGTAACGGTACGTGCGTCCCATCTCTTCCTGTTGAGTTGTTGCCAGTATGCGGGAGAGACACTGACGTGAGAGTACAGAGTGGACCACCATAGATGCCATCCCAACTGTGCAAAAGGTCGTCGCGCGCCTTAGTAATCGCGTCTTCGTTGGGCTCCCCATATGTGAGTTGCACAGTAGATACGAGTGCCATAGCTACACACAGGACTCTTTGCAGGCCGCAACGAAGAGTACCTCAGGCTGGCCGTCACGGTGACGAGGGACATCGTGAGGGACGGCTTTCTTCTCAAGCTGTTTCCTAAGGCTTTCAAGCCGTAAGATACTGCAGCTGCTCGCGGGACTTGGTGATATCTGACACCACGGCTCTCTTGCAGTTTAGTCGCATCTTGGACGAGCCATGCCAAGCGGACGATACGCCGCGCACTTCCGTACTTGAGGCCTGTCATTACCGAGAGGAAGGCGAAGATCAAAGAACACGGTCTTGGCGAAGACTGGCCAGGAAAGCCGGTTAGCGTTCATCTCGCGTACATCCTATCACATCACACAGTCCTGAATTGGACGTACCGCTTGCTTCACAGAACGACCTACTGCAATGGATCATAGAGCAGGCCATTCCGAGAGGCGTAGATGACGAGTCCATCGCCGCACGGGTGCTGCTGGTCAACTTCGCAGCTATCCACACGTCGTCGATGGTGTGTTGTGTCCCAGTTTACGTACAAATCGCAGAGTTGACTGCGCCGACAGAGTGTGACCCAAGCACTTTATCACCTTGCTGCCGCTCCTGGCTACATCCAGCCTCTCCGAGAGGAAGTTGAGTCAATCACCGCGGTAGAGGGATGGACGAAGGCTGCGATGGGCAAGATGTGGAAGCTCGACAGCTTCCTGAAGGAGTCCCAGCGGTACAACGGCATCGGTCTGAGTATGTCCCCTGCTCTCACCTTTCACTCAGCTATCATGTCCATTGCTCAATGCCTGTGTAGCGTCGGTTGGGAGGAAGGCATTGAAAGATGTCCTGCTCAGCGACGGCACCCTCATCCCTGCAGGGACCCTTGTAGTCGCGAACTCCTACCCGATGCATCATGACGATGAATACTACCCAAATGCCGGCGAATTCGATCCCTTCCGCTTTGCGCGCATGCGTGAGCTCGAAGGCGAAGGGACCAAGCATCAGTTTGTGAACACGTCTACGAGTTATGTGCCTTTTGGTGTTGGACGACATGCTTGGTGAGTTGCGCGGCTTTCAATGCTCCAGCCCCCACGTCAGCCGCCGTCCGGGTACTTACATATAGCCAATCTCAGCCCTGGACGATTCTTCGCTGCAAACGAGCTGAAGGCGATGCTCGCGTACATCGTGGTCAACTATGATGTCAAGATCGATGGAGACGGCGCACGGCCGCCTGACGTGTACTTTGCGAACTCCGTGATCCCTAACCAGAAGGGGAAGATTATGTTCCGGAAGCGCCAAGTCACAGGTGCGGCGTGAAAACACGCTGTCGGCAGGAGGGTTGTATATGGGGCTGTGGGTGTGCATACTTGTGGATCTGTCGCGTCAGACTTGTTCTGGTCGTCCTAGGTCATGTAAAGTCCTTTCCTTTAGCACAGGCTTACCGATAGTAGTCTCTTACCAGGACAATTCACTGAGATTCGTGTAAGCGAAAAGTGGAACTCACATTTGCGATGCATGGGCTCCGGTGCACTGTCCCTTGAGGGCCACTGGATCTAGTCATAGGTGTGAGGATGTTCAGACTCAACTGGTACAGTCATCCATTGCTCATGCTCTGGTAGTCTCGTGACCAGACGTTCGGAGCTCCAAGCGGGAACGAAAAATCGGAAGTTCCCGAGCACCTTAACGTCTGGTGGCTTTACCCCCGTGACTCCCCGCTCGGTGACCTATGTGACCTCCCTGCCCTCTCTCCGGGAGTCCGAGCTGTCCTTGCGTGCGCGCCTGCATGCTTATCTCCCGCCGTCTTTGAGCTGCGCTGAGCCTACTCTGCACTATCTATGATATCTGCAAGCAGTCAATTCCCCTGTAATCCTCTGTCTCTGTTATAGGCAATACACTGTGACTTCTCTTTGTGTGCATAACCTGATAACATGACACGTCTGAATTCAGGAGTGTGATGCACCTATCGCCGTGTCCACCGATGCCCGTCACCTTGGGCTTGTACCCCTTGGAGGTTTCCTTCTCTTCTATGGGAGTATCATCACTCAGATCTGCACTCTGTCCAGCACCAGAGTAATATCACCAGCGGTGGTCGAACTCCTGTCAATTCCATCACAGGTTGTAGCGGGTAATCTCGAGGGGAGCGGGCATCATGGGAAGAGGCATCCTCAGCAATGATATCATGCATCTCTCGCAGGGTGCTCTACAATACGTGTGGACGAGCGCACGCCACACAAGGGGTTCATGGTCAGTAGCTCGAGCGACTGCATGGTCATCTATAGCAGGCCGCCACATCGCACGAGGGCGGCCCCCGGGCTTTCTCGGACTGCCCCAAATGGGTGTCGATATGTCACACAGGTCACCGAGCGGGGAGTCACGGAGGTAAAGCCACCAGACGTTCGAGTGTCCGGATGCCCCCGATTTTTCGCATCCGCTTCACACTCCGAACGTCTGGTCACGAGACTAATGCTCTGGGACTGGGCGATATGTCATGAACTGGAGCGTGCGTGAAGGAGTCTGAAGCAGGGAGCTGGGCTCGACAGCAGAGTATTGAGTGTCGTGCAATACCAGCCTGTCGGAGTGCTACTAATAAATTGTAACTTCAAGCCTTATCGGTATCACGTCTGGAGTTCACTAGCGACTCACTGGCAGAGTGTAAATTGGTAGTGTGCCACTGATGCATGCATATATTCACTATGCTTACTATAATGTCAGCTCATCAATATCATCGTGTGGAACTCGGGATAAGTGGACATCAGAGGCTGCGCATATACGCAGCGGATGTCAGGTATCGGACTAGGAGGCGGAAGGGCGTCGGGAGAGAGGGGGATGGGAGAAAGAGGGTCTTGACATTTTTGCTGAGGAGCAGATTCTTGTACATTTCCTACGTCGGAGTTTGTCTAAGCTCAAGACATGTCAAAGAAATGGCGGCGACGGGACGAGCTGAGACGCGTACTAGCTCCACCAATCAGCGGACGCGCCGGTCACGTGCGTGCGAAGTCCCACCTGTTTGCGTCCTCCCGCTTCTACTTACCGGCGTCCCTCTGCTCAGCCTGTCATTTGATGGCCTTCCCTCCTGGCCCTCTACTACCCATCAAGCCCAATTCTGGTCCTTGAGATGATAGGTATACCCTGCGGAATGGCGCCCAAGTCGAGTGTAACTCCCAGTCCGAGCCTGAGTAGGGCCGCTCAATTCTCGAGGACACAGGACGCAGGACGCGTTCAGAGGCCATTGATGGAGGTAATGGGCTAAGCAAGACTAGCCGACAAGCTCGCCTTCGAAACCCCTCGAGCGACGATGACACACCTCCCCCCTCACAAAGTGCCTCAAAGGTAGTGTCAATCGACGCGGAAGGCTTTCGTCTTCAACATACTTGCGATTCATATTTTTCTGTGAGGTTTGGGACACGACAGACCTCTTGGAAAACAACGGGAACAAGAAATGAGGTTCATCAGCAAAAATGTCAAATCAATGTAATGCGGGTTGTATTGGCAATGTAAGGAGTGACTAAATCAGCTTTCATTGTAACGCTAGTCTTGACGAGATAGGTGTTCTATTGGCGTTAGATATGAGAGCTTAATTTCTGTGATCATGATAGTGTATCGGGCTGTCATCATAACTCATCAGCTTGCAATGGAATGCATAGGCCTGCTCGGCCAGGGATTTTCAGGCGAGCTGGGAGTTCCCATGCCATTACCATCATATAGATGGTCAAGCAGTGCTTTGTCAACGCGGGGTCTGTTGCAGGCACGCTGTCCGACAATTCAACACGAAACACGCCAAAAGTTGGGAAAAATGATATGAATCAAGGGCCAACTACAATACGACAGACTGTCTTCCCGACGCCGCTTGCACCACACGCCCTTGGTCTCGCTGACAACCCGTGCGATTCTCTCCTCCGCCTTCTTCGCCATCTCGATCACTATGCTCGCAGGTGTCAGAGGGGTTAGGAGCGGCACGGAGCGGGAGTAGTATAAGGCAGGGCCAGGTCTCAACGATATTCGGAGTGTCTCACTGGATGACCCCATAGGCGTCCTGGGTGAGCGACGCGCACGTGAGGCGGCACAGCACTGTCCATTGAGGCCAAACCGAGCGAACCCCGCTGTCGTCAGCTGCTATTCGTGACCGCGTCCAATGCGCGAGCTGCACAGACCTGCAGGGCAAGGCAATGATGACACACCTTCCGCAGTGAGCGCATCCACATACCAGTTTGGCAGGCTCGTCTCTGCAACTCAATGCACCTGCTCCCGCATCCACGACGTCTGCATGCGCGTCCGCCAGGCCCGTCGTAAGGTGTTTGAGGTATAAATCCGTGGACCTGATGCCGAGCACCGATGTGAGGCTAGGGTCTGCTGTATGCGCACAAACAGATGGACTGTACCTTCCCATTAGCACAAGTTATTGGTGGTATATGGTACAAACCACCGCTACAATGAAGTCAAATGCAGCTAGAGTATGAAGATAGTCTGCTTGCCGCTGTAGGAACTGGACCAGTCAGGTCCGCGATGGTGGGGTTTCTTTGAGCAGGTGATGAGCTTGATGGCGGGAGATGCAAGGAAAGGAGCGACGACTTATCTGTGTGCTCGCCCAGGCGTTTGACGAAAAGACAAAGACCATGACAGGTCGTGAGCTATGACATCACGCCTGCCAATGTCTTGCAGCTGGGCCACGATCTGCCGCCTTAACCCTAACCCAATGCTCTTCCGGCCAGGACAACCGCGTACCGTTGATATGCTGCTCGAGGAGACAACACTCACCGCGTGAAGCGCCGGATTACGGAGGTTGGGGAACAAGGAGAGGATGAGCGGATCACCGCCGCATTCCCAGCGTGTTCCCACCACATTCCGCCGGATCAGAGGATGTGAAGGCATTAACTGCCTTCCGCTCACGTTCCGCTCATGTTCCTACCTATGTACCCCGCACATTCCCAGTCGTGAAGATTCTGGAGTGTAAGAGGATCCGCGGGTTTTGATAAACCATGGCATATCAATTATTAATCAATATATATTCGCGCATGAGCAGTCCGGACGTCCCGCGTGCTAGTGACCCCTTTTACGAGCTCGTGCGCGACGATGCATTAGCGGCGTTGACATAGGTTGAAGCCAGTGATTCAAAGGGAGACATATATTGATCATGGACTACAGATCAGGTAGATACATAGGAGGGTTGAGCTTGCGCGCGGATCGTAGAACACTTGCTGAGGTAGGCAAGGAGCTGCAGGCTGAGCAGCGTATCTCCGTTCCGTGACGTCTGCAGATGTTAGGACCAGTAGACGAAACCTAGACAAAAATGTGCGCAGGGGCTCTGTCCGTTTCTCCTTCCCCGCACGCCACATGCACCATGGCCGACCCAGGGAGAGCAACTACAAGTCAACATCTGCAGCGCCTCAACGGCGCAATTGAGGAAATCGAAGATGTGCGTACCGGATGTGAGACAAACCTCAAGAAAACGACGCAGGCTCTGCGTTATCTCCTAGAGGAAAACAAAGCCTTGAGGGCGGAGTTGAAGGTTGTTGTGGACAGGTTGGCCTTCGTGGAGGCAGTCATGGACATTGAGGAAGAGGGAGGGAACGAAGACAGGGCAGAGAGAGCGGGCATAGGGACAGGCGAGGGCACAGGCGAGGACACAGGCGAGGGCACAGGCAATTTGGCGTCGGAACCAGTCCTGGATAGCAAAGCGGTGGCCAACGAGAGTGAGGCACTGGCAAATAGCCAAATAATCAAGGCGAGTACTTACGGGTGCATGTAGATGATGTGATAGAGATAAAAGGATACTATTATCTAGAACGTGGTCAACTTGACATATCTGCGTCTGTCGGGCGTTGAGAAACTAGTCAAAAGATACTTACCCGACTATCCTGGTGAGGATGAAGAGTGGCCACTCGACCCAGCAACCGGTCAGAGGTACCTATGCTGCAAATGGAATGCATCTGCAAGAGATCGCGTCAACACGGAGGGCCTTACGGCACTCAGAGATGCTGTTCGGGCGTCCGGTGCACTGTGTGAGCCAAAATGTGCGCCCTATCTAGGCAAGATTCTCGATGCTCACCTTGATGCACGGTTTGCAGCCAAGTTCGGATACATGGCGCGCGAGTACAGGACTTATCGCAAGGAGCAAGCAGTCCAGGTGGGGCAGGCAGGCGAAGGTGGGGCAGATGATGAGGATGCCTTCGGACCAGACCAGGGAGAGGATGAGGACGCTGTAGAAGGGGAGACAGAGGCAGCGCGGCTGCAACGCAGTATCCGGCGCACCCGTGCAGTTACTGTGAGTGATGGCATTGATAAACAAAAGTGATGGTAACACATGAACACACCTATTCTTGACAGGTCGCTATGCAGCGGGAGAGGAAGGCCAAGGGCACTGCATGGGACGACCCAAGATATGCAGGCGCCTTCTTGGTGAACGCACAATCAGATTACGAAGACGAATTCAAGGAGGGAGATCGTCCCGCCGGCGTACCTGTGAAAAGCCTGAACCAGAGTCGACAAGTCTGCTTCAACGGTGAGATCCAAGAGAGCCGGGGCAGGTGGCAGAGAGGCCACGACATCGTCGACAGGGCTCGGTGACCGAGAAGAACCTAGAGATGCAGGCGCGCCAAGTGCCGGAACAAGCTCTTGCCCTACGTCGGCGCCGTCAAGTCCCAGAGGAGAATCAGACCTGAAAGAGCCAACCAAGTCATCCCCTGGCCCAGAGAAGGCGGGATCATCATCAAACACTGGCGAAAAAGGTCGAGATGAGTTGCCCGGAGTGGGAGCACTGGGAGGGACGAAAATGTCGTGAGTCTCACTGAATATACCACCACACTCGAGGTTGAGTCTCCCGACACCATCGACAATGTCAAGGCGAATGTGCAATGCATATCAAGATCATTTGGGTCATCAGACACCATGAGAAATGTACTCACCGAGAGGTCGCGCCACTGCGGCTCAGGTCAGCGGGAACGGACCGATCTTCACGCGCAACCGGCGCATATACCCTGTGCTAAGGTTCTCCAGGGCCTTGCTGGGCTGGATTGGGAGCCTGAACTTGAAGTGCGGCACGTTGGCTGGCTGGCTGTGTGGCCGCAAGTCAGCGATCAGTGCGCGCGTGGTTTGTCGTGGTCTGCTTGCTAACAAAGTCGAATCCGTGGATCTGTTTGGAACATTGGTGCTTGCAATAACATTGTGTGAAGTCTTGCCACCGTGGCTTGAGAGGCATGAGGTGTGGTAGACGATGGCTGTATGCAGCGATGGTGTATGTGTAGTTATTGCGGGCAGACTCGCTGTGTACATGATGTAATCGCGCGCGCAAGGACGCGTCGAAGGCCGTGACCGCGATATCTGATCAAGCTACAACCGATAACTCCCTTATCTGACGAAAATTCAAGTCTTGTCTTCAGGACATCGAGCCTGCTGGATTGAAATTGAGGGAACATAATGGAAATGTAGTGGTGACGTGTATATACTCAGCATATCCCCCGGGAAGAGGAACATGTATGGGAATGTGGCGGCAATGAGGCGGTAATGCACTCATCCTCTTCTTGTTCCCAACCTCCGTAATCTGGCGCTTCGCGCGGTGCTATTCGTATCACGGTGGAAGTTGGTGGAAAGCTGGTTACGAAACGGGTGCATTAAGGTGATCTGGCATAGGTCGGTGATTTGCCTGTTTGGAGGCCGAGGCCGAGCCCGAGGAATTTTGGTGACAGTTGCGTTTGATAGCGAAAGCTATGGGCGAGAAGGACTTAAGCCTATGTGGTGAGCAGGAGCAGTCTGCACGTAGCTAGCCACTGGCCCTGGCAGGATCCGAAGACTACAACGATCGTAGACAGGGCACGGGTGCCTGTCGAATCAGCGACCGAGCCAAGTGATCGACGGCAGAGGCGAGCGTGACGGGACGCGTCGATGATGGGGCCCCCCGCGTCAGGCCAGGCACCGTCGATTTTATTGCCTC